TCGAAAAACCCATGTGCCTCCAGCTGTTTTGCTCCATGATAACCCTTAAGAAGATTTGGTTTAAGAATAAAATTTATCAGAAATAAAGTTATAGTTTCATCAATCAAAATAAATGCTCGATTAATAAAATGTGATACACACACATAGAACAGTATTGATTCGATTCCATTTGAGATTCGTGTACAACATGAATAATGTAATCATTTAATTATAATCGATTGTGTTTGTGTTCGTCATTTACATCACAACGATGGAAAAAAAATGTTTTTTTTTTTAATTTATGAAGAATGACCAACAACGCATCATCAACAACAGATAAATTAATTCAATGTTATATATGGCTAAATGAATGGCCTTTAATGGAAAATATAGCATTTAATTCAAAAAAGAAATATTTAAAATGATTGGCCATCCAATACAATTTTGGATGAATAATGATTCGCGTTTACCGCAAACAATGAACAAATTCTATTGTTTGGCTTTGTTAAATATCTATTGGTATATTTGCTAGTTAACCGACGATATTAATCCGTCTAATTCACGGTGCGTTTCAGTGGAAAAATGCGAAAATTGTGGTTTTGTAAACTGATCAGCTTAACCAAGCGATCCGTTATACCGTATCCATTATTATTTCCCAGGAAATCCATCAATTTTGTCACCGTTTTTTTCTTTCTTTGAAGCAAAGAAACGCATGAATGCGAAGAAGAAAGACAGAGTAGAAGACAAAAACGATTAAATTTTAATTGTAATGTGCTAAACGATTGTATTCTGTGGTGCGCATGTGTGATATAATCGAAGAAAAGAATTTGTTGGCGGTGATCAACGCAATGAGAAATTAATGCTTGTCGTAATGGAATGGTGTAAAAAAGGCGGAAAAGAGTTCTAACCACATTATTTTGATTACAATATATTTAATATCGAAATAGTTGCCTATTCAGTTCGTAACCCGAACACGAAACAAGATGAAATGTGTGTGCGTGAGAGAGAGAGAGAGAGAGAAAAAAAAATCGCCACAAAATAGATATATGAACGAAGAAAATCGGTGAAGATTAAATGGAAAACAATCCCAATGGAAAAATGAGTTGTTTGAAACCGTTTGAAAAGAAAGAATTATTATGAACAACAACACAAAATATTTAACAGTATAATTTGTTTACGAGACGTTTGGTCATACCGTGAGAACCGAACAATAAAAATAGAACAAATATCGTTTTATTATTCGGTGGTTAATGAGCATATAATTTTCTATGTATCCATATTGCATTTGTCGGATTTTTGTATGAAGATATTTTCACGAGTGAACAGAACGACATAGCGAGATAGGGAGCAATGATGATAGCAACAAAGATGAGACTTAAAATAGAAAGATTTTCAAATGAATGGTATGGACCAGTTTTCGATTGAACAAATGAACGGTGTTAATAATCGCAATAGCATTAACAAATGCCATTGAATGCGTAAAAATAACAAATACCATCATTATTATTCAATAATAATGACCTAATAATAAGAATATTGGGGGAATAAGGATTGTTAATGTTCTTCATGCAAAAATGATCGCTTAGTTTGGTTGACATCTTCATTTGGTGCGTTATGCATTCGCAATACGGAAGTAACAGAAAAAAAACGAACGAAAAAAAATATATATAAATACAAATCGATAAACAATCGACAACATGAGTTCAATGCTATAACAATATCCAGATTAGCCGATGAAAATCATAACGGGAAGATGATAACAATTCATAATCCAAAAGTAAAACCAACTCACTCAATTATCATCATTGTCGATTTTATAAAGAGAGAAAAGAAAGGTATCTCTTCTTTACCTGAGCTTTTATTCAATCTATTGTTTGTAACGAGTCATGAAATCTCCCTGTTTTAATACAAACAAACATTTCAGCTGTTTATTTGATTGCCACCATAATGTGACTGTGATATTTTCTAGTGTATATGCTTTATTTGTATATGCCTGCAACCCCTGTTCACCTTTGTTCCGTTTCACTTCTACGCAACATTTTTATACGTCAACATCAATGATCTGTGTTGCATAGCACGTGTGCTATTATTAAATTGTCGTTTGATGGTTCGGCACTCTCTTTTTTTTTGCAGTTCGTTTTATTGCTGTGTGTGCGCCTCTTTTTTTCATCGTTGCCTTCTTCTGGACCTTTATTTTTCTATATGTTTTGATATCCCTATTCAATTCTAGTTATTGTTCACGACCGTTGCGTGTTCATACCGTTTTGCCGGTCTTTTAATTCCCCATTTTCACAAAGCATCTTGTCTGCATTTATATTTATGGTCGAAGTCAATCAGCAAAATAATACATTTCAATGTGGTTATCTCCTACTTGTGTATCGTTATTTGTTCGAAAAGAGGGGTATTATTTTCAACTTTGACACCTCTTTGATCGCCCTATGATTTTATATGACTGAATATATTCAGAACTTATCTCTCTCTCTCTCTCTCCCCCCGTGGCACTTCAATTCAGTACCTGATAAAATAATTCCAAAGTTATAAAATATAAATGATGCAATTATTGGAATCGATTTTGTTTTTTCAATCAAGCGACTTTCAAATGAAATTGATTTTGAACTTTTCGTCCATGATTTTTATTGGATTTATGTTTTATTTTAATCCAAGTCATTGGCATGTGTAATTTCATTAATTTATTTTTTTTCTCGCTTTTTTTTCATAATGTTGCGGATATGAAAAGAAACGAGATAAAATTGTGTCAAACCGTTACCAAATCAAAATATCAGATTTGAGTAATAATTTTTTTAGCAGTATTAAAACCGATCAACAAACAAATAACCACGTATTCAAAAGAAACTGGTATACTTCTTATTCTCTTTCGTTGTGTTCATTCGCTTGCGGCCTTAAGATTTTTGCCATTTACAAACCACATTTAAATTGATAATTGTTGCTAATTGAGAATTAATAAGTTGAGTAAATTTTGGAAAAATAGCTTGTCTTTTTATATGCGATTGATTCATATTAATAAAAAAAAGCGATAAAACGACAAATATTTCGATACTGTCGAGACAAGAATTATATGATTTATGACGATCATTTATATGGTGTTTGATGTGGATTGTCCGAAAAATGAATAATTTCTATTGTTCCGATGACAAGATGAAAAAGCGTGATATTATGATACTATTCATTATAATTTGTTGTGCCTAGTACAAACTAACACCATCGTACGTGTTGACTGACATTTTAAAATAAAAATTCAATTTTGATAGATTCAACTGAAATCGGGCTCATTTCATCGTTGATTTGTTGTTTTTCTTCAAATCAATATGGTTATTCTGAGCTACACATCTAAATGAGTTACAAAAATGTTATCGACCAGCTCTTGGTATTCATTGCCTATTTGCTTGCACTCATCAATATTTATGCATAATATAAAATGAGATGTTAAAGTAAAAATATGTCGGAATTTATAAACAGTCCTTGATTTTCTCACATCACACATAGCTGGTTTGACTCGTTTCGAATGCGCAGGACGATTTGAATCTTCGACATTTTCTTGTTTTGTCGCAGCTTCATTTTCCAGTTTGCATACATACAACGTCGAAATTCCTGTTATTACGTAAGAAAAAAAAAATTGTCGCAATTATCAGTGTCGATAATTGAACTGAAAACGTATCTTTTTTTTGTCTTCGTCTTCTTGTGATTTGGACCAGTGTAACTGCCTCGTGCATATCCGCATTTCCATAATCGTTGTGGAATGTGAATGCATGCTTGTTACATTCTTTCTTTTTCAGATGGGGATGAATCTTGAAATGTATCATATGCGGAACGGATGGCTTTGTTTTTGATGTGTGCATTCGAAGCAAGTTCGTTAAATCAAGTTTTTCAGACAACATAATCAATATCATTTCTTTTTTTCATACAAAATTCCCATTTTACATTTGAATTTTTTCTTACAAAGTTGAATGTGTACAAGGAAGTTTTTATTTAACACAATTTTCAAACGATGAATCGAAAATGAAATGGATTACATCAAATAATGATGATCATTCACTTGGGCACTGTTTTGTTGTTGTGAAAAATAGAAAATAAAATAAGTTTTGAGCAAACAGGCTCTGCATATGCATTGCATTCATTTATGTTCACTCCGTAAATAAATTGGTTTCTTTTTCCAAACTTATTCGCTTTTTCACACCAATTTCTTGGTCCGAAACGCAATCACATTATCGTGTAAACGAGTTTTTCAGTTCATGTTACGTTTCAATATTTAAATTTTCAATCCACATATAACAACACATCATTCAGAAACAAAGAATTACATATCAAAATCGATGTGTGAGAGTAAAGAAGAAAAAAAAAATAACCGTTGGCCGGAATTTTCACGCAATGAAAACGATACAAACATATTCGATTCGATTTGTTGACGCTATGATTATTTATCTGCATCTGTATTCAACGTCGTCAAGTCAATATTTATCAATTATCAACAGTTTTTTTTATCATTGCGACGCCAACAATTTATCTGCGATCAATTTGCTCCAGCGCATCAATTTTAATAACCGAATATTTCTTCTTTTGTTGTTGTTGTTGTTGGGTAGCGGACACTTTTCATGGAAACCACTTCAATATTTTATCAATGAAGTGTTAATGCTTCATGTATTTGGTAAAATAGATGTTTGTCCAAAAAATTGTGCTGAGGTTGAGTTTTTCAAATGGAAATCAATGGAAAAGTTCAACCAACATAAATTGATTGTTCATATTTGGCCTAAAAATTGGTTCAGTCAATTTCATACCATTAGCGCCGTTGATTAGCATGAATCGATCGGTGAATGGAATCGAAAGCATGCAAAGTAATAATAATGTCAAAAAATATGTATGTTGGGAAAAAGTTAATTGAGCCCAAAAATATGTCATTTTCAACGAAGTTTTTTTTCTGTTTGTTAAAATATATTTTTTTTTAGTTTTTATTGATTTTAAAATGAATTCTTGACTCAATTTTTCTTCTCGTTTTCTCTTTTCAGTTGTATGAAATCAGCGATGAACCAAAGCGCAAGGAGTTCTTAGATGATCTGTTCCATTTCATGCAAAGACGAGGTAAGTTATGCTAAATTATAATAATAATATGACAGCTTGAAAACGGATTCGCATTTTTTCCCCTTTCGATGCTCAAATTCATTACATTCCAATTTTGGTTCGATGTCATTTTTTTCATGTGCTATTGTAAGCATTGAAATCAGTAATTCAGTAAAATGCCGTCTATTTTTTTTTTCACATTCGACGTCGTTGTGTTCGACGTGAAGAGAATATGTAAAGGTCTCTGGGATCAATAGAGATCAAATGTGAAAAATGTGTATTTTATTCGTTTGTTCTCGACCGAAAATATCAAAATATGTATGTAAGATTTTATCAATATCAAGGAAATAACATACGAATAGATTGGTCAAAATGATCATTCGCTCTTTCATTCATTCTTCCTCTCGAATCTATTTAAAAGAATAATTGATATTTTTATTTATTGAATTGTAGATTATGAGCACAAAGATTCGGAAGAACATTTTGAAAATGCATCAATACGATCGCTGAATATCTTAACCTAATGCTTCCAATTGATAATTTTCATTAAATTTGATTACGTTTACATTGATTAGGTTTACATTTTCGAAAAAAATAGTAGAAAATAGATCACGGTCGATCGCACGCACTTCCAAATAAGACTCTCAAAAGTGTTAATCGAATGTTTCAATTGCCCATTGATTGAATAAAAGCAGAATAAATTACATAACAAATTGATTGGAAGATTAAAGAATAAATTTCCAATCGTCACTCATTTCAATAATTTTTTACGTTGAATTGTACATAATTTCTTGATCGTTCAGCCAATAGACACTTTAGCGTGAAGATGTTAAACGAAAACTGACTTCTGCCTACACAATAAAAATGTATGAGATTGATCCGTGCTGTCGATATACAATTGAATATGATTCTTGATTTCCATAAATCACAATTGAGCCCATCTGACACACCACAAAGTCTCAACTATGTACTCGATGTAAAAAATATGAAATGAAACGAAAAATGAATAAATAAACGGCATTTGAAAGAGACTGTGAAAAAGAAGAGGAAGAAGAAAAGAAAGGAAAAAACCAACGACAAGAAAACAACGAAAGAAAAATAGATTTAGAGAAAATCAAATGAACAGATATTGGCGTTGATTTGGTTGATTTTTCTATTTTGGATTTTTATTAATAGCCAAAGCCATTAGATATTGTGTCACTTTATGATTAATTCAATGCAGTATATTTCCGTTTGACATTTGATGATTAACACATGTTGTTGTGTTTCGAAGTTGATGCCAGCCAATTCTAGGTAAAAGTAAGCGAGATGGAAATAATCAGGAAAAATGAACAAAATAATGATGAGTGTATAATTAATGTTTACGTGTACCACAAATGTCAGACGCAAACATTGCTCATGACACAAAATATGGCAAACGCGAAAAATGTGTATGCTCGCGCCTTTATCTCGGATATATATATATATACGTGCCCGTCGCATGATGACGATTACAACAAACAAGGAGCACACAGAAAATCAAAGCACATCAATCGAACGAGACTTAAATGGCGTATAAAGATTTTCCGTTTGCGGCTGTCATTTCACATGATAAAATTCTCATGTTCATACCATATCTATCACTTGCGCATTTTCAAAATAATCGCAATGCAAATGAATTTCTCATGTATACGATTACACTACCCTCAAAACATTAATTTTATTTACAATCAAATGTTCAATTCAATTTATTGTAAAAAAGTTGAAAACAGTCGAAGGATTTATATAAAAAAAAGATCATGAACAATCACGACAAAGCGAATGACAATGGCCATGGTCCAATGATATTTTGTTCACCAAATGAAAGTTCAATGAATAAAAATATGAATAAAAAATGCACGGCGTTGTGGACCAACGTAAAATGGTGACGAAAATGAAACCAATCTGTTCTCATAGACATTACGATAATTATAAACTGCGCAGAGTCTATATTCAAGTTGTATTGATATGAATGAGTGGTCACAATGTGATTGTATGCCATCCGTATGTGGGTTCGAATTCAAATTGTGTTTCGGTTGCTTTTTACCCCATTTGTCGATGGCTGCTTGGTTAAAATTTCAAAAACGAAAACTGATATTTCTCTTTATCTCTCTCTCTCTCTTTCTCAATTTTTTTTTGTTTTATCTTCAACGGGCTTTTCATCGTATATTTTTTTTCTACGTACACACTTTACACTTGTATGCTGCCACACAAAACTATTTCAATTTCTTTCAAATTGATTGACATCTATGTTAACAAAAATGACTCATGGTTTTTTCGTTCATGTCATTATTTTGATGTTGTTGTTGTGTTACTTCTCCTGCTACGAAATTCATTGCTACTGTATTCAATAGAGCTCGGATCGATTTGTTCCGTTTTCATTCAAAGGAATCTTTCATATATATATTTGTGTGTGTGTGTGATGATTTCAATGCTGTTAACAGCCACATAAGTTGCACGATGTGCGCGCGATGTGTGTATTTGCGTTGATCCTACACGCCATCGTAATTATTTTTCGATCGACGGAAACGATCGGCGCACCGAAAATATACATCGATTCAGTTGATGTATGAAAATGAAATCGTAGTCGAATGAAATGCACGACGAAAATAGTAGGAGTCGAGTTGACATACGAGAAAAATCATGGATCAAATGTTGAAATAGCGAGGGAACAAAAAACATACCGAAGAGAAATTAACAAACAAGAAATCTATCGTTAAATTTAGATTAGAATTTTTGGTGGTAGTTAATGAGCAAATGAAAACAAAAGAGATGATTACAACATGAAGTATTTTTCTCTCGTAGCCGTCAATGTTTTTGACATTATGAAAATTTCCACAATGAATAAAACGGTGTGATGCGGTTGACTTTTCAAAAAGTACTCAATCATTTTGTGTGCGAGTTGATAACGTTTCATATGCCATAATGCCGAATCAGTGAGCTGATTTGTTTTTTTTTTCGTGTGTGTGTGTGTTGTTCTCTTTTGTGTGATTTTTTGTTTGTCGGGAGGAATCGAAAGTCATCAGCCGTTAAGTCGGATGTTGGTGTTTGGTTGTTTTCATTATTGTGTCTATTCAAGTATGAAAGGAATGTCGCGTGTTTTCCTCCTTGCGAATGGATGTGTCTTCATCTATTCGACGATTGGACAGTGCTTAAAATAAATATAATATTTCGATAATTAATCGTCTCCTATTGCTGTGCCGCTGCCGCAACTTGAGTGATTTGCCTCTTTATTTTGGGTGAGCCATACCCGAATTGATGGCATCGTTTTTGTTTTTTTTTTTTCGATTACACATTTGGCTTCACAAAAATTCAGTGCCAATGTGTATTTTCTATTCGATTTTGTTCATTTTCTTTCTCGTTTTGGTTCGATTGAATTGTTTCGTTTGTCGCATTTCATGACATCGCAACCGACACCTTTCTGATTTTGTTCTAATGATCAACACATCTTCTTCCCTTTTTTTGTTTCAATTCATGTCGAATATCATGAGCGCATTGATCCAAAAATGTTTTCCGACACATTTTCAATTTTTTTTTTCGTTTTTCACTTTTATCTTTTTTTTGACACCATACTTTCCATTTAAATTGACGAACGTTTGCGGTAATGTACCAATCGGCTGTCGTTTTTGAGTGTACAGCCCAAAATCTTGGCGATTGATTTCTTAATTTAGATTTGATAATTATGGTTTTTCAATATGAGCCGTTGATTCAAACCGTCCATTGGAATACAATAATCGGAACATTTTTTTTTGTCTCGACGTTTCAAACCAAATGAACAATTTAACTGTGAAGAAAAAAAAATGAAACTAGTACACATATATTTATGTTACACAGAATTGTAGAAATGCAGAAAAACATGATGTCATACATCACATACACATGACATCGTTCTTCTATAGTTTTTTTTTCTCGTCTTTCTTTGCGATTGAAGCGCTTTCCCTGAACAACACAATTTACAAAGCAATGGGCTACACGTTTTGAGATTAATTACATGGAAATATCAATCATTTAACATTTTGCGTTTCATTCAAAGCCGATTTGTATTTAATAATAATACGAATTATTAAATTTCAATGCGCTGCTTTTTATTTCAGTGACGGTATTGTTAGTGTGTCCTTTGTTTTCGATTGGGCACACCCAGCCAACCAAACGCGCAAACAAATACCCCGGTGTCTTGAAATAAGATTGCAGCCGACAGGCTGAGAGAGTGTTCATACATAAATTTGTGATTTTCGTCTTTAATTACAATTTTATGACCGTTCGTTGGCAAATGCACACATATAATGAAATCGAGTCGAGCCGATGATGTGTTGCAAGGAAATATGTCAATTAAATGCAATACCGTTTTTTTCTGTCACTCTCTCTCTCCCTCTCTCTACATTTTTATTTTCGATTTGAATTCACCGTTTGTTTTTTACGAGCTTTTGTGTGTTTTTTTTTGCTCTTCGTTATTCATTCTTTTTGCCTCGATGACAAACAGTAAAAATGCGATTTTATGCACGCGATTTAATAGATATTTCTTGTTTATTTGCTCATTTCGATTACCACAACTGCAACAAAATCACAACAAATCTAGACAAAATATATGAAATATTCGTACATTGTCCGAATTCAAATTGAATGTGTGAATCAACCACATGCACACCATTTAATGCCATGCATGAATCTCAAATTATTGACAGTTGAGTTTTTGCGTCGAAAGTATTCTTTTTTTCTTGTTGTTATTCGTTTTGTTTTCGGCGACATTTGTTTCGAACATTCAATTCTAATAATTGCATGAAATAATGCTCCGGCATGAATGATAACTATTAAGTGAGAGTGTAATCGATTAGTCTAGAGACAAAAATAAAATGTATTAAGCACGTGCACTTTTATTATTCATATTTGTATGTGAGCGATCGCGCTTTTTTTTGCCTCGTCGAACTCGACGTTCTCGTCCGTGAATTTTTATGACGATATTTGCTTTTGGCAAACACTAAAATCGATTAATATCATCTTCAAACGAAACATGACTACATTGTCTGTTGAATTTTGGCTCTTTGGATTTGATCAAAGATGTTTAATTATTTGGCTGTTTAATTCAAAGGAATGCATCAGTCATTAAATTCATTGAGATTTATCGTTTTAATTTCAATGATATGTACCTGCAAACGTCGTTGAAATTTTGAAGAAAAAAAAAAGAACAGCATTCAAACGGATTCTAGTGGTGAGAATGAGCTGATGCTCATTGTCCATTGAATTACGCGCCAGTTTTTTTTTCAATTACGAGAATCGTATGTTTCTTCACTGGCAATAAATTAAAACCACATTAAAAAAGAGTTAGATTCGTGAATCAAACATAAAATGAAATCATGCCAATTGCGAGCATGTTATGTACATTTTGACATTAACATAACAATCAATTAATTGCATAAGTAAAACAACAGTGGAATTCGGTTGATTGAAAAGGGAAAAACAAATCTGTTTCATGTTCATCAACTTGAAATCTGATTTATTTCCGCAACTTCCGTTCGATTGAAATGAAAATCTAGCCCGATCATATGGAATATATTCTTCCGCATTCGATGCGTGTGGAGAGGAGTGAACATTTTTTTCGCCGCCACTTTTTCATTAAAAATATCTATTTAGACATGGATCTTACTTAACGGCTTACAATAATCAATTTGTTTATTAGATGTTTATAGTCGGATCAAATATACGTTCAACATATTCGGAAAATGGTGAAAGAAAATTGTCTAACTATCGGAAAAAGCGATTGAAATGGCAAGATAATACAGCATGAGATTTTCATCTGCGTTTTGTTTTAATATCTGTGTAATCAACGGGTAATCCAGTATTTGATACACCGGTCATTTGTATCGTGCTGAGTTTCAATAGATATCAAAATGAAAATAGACACAGAACCACACAATGAAAACCATAGTTAGATGAGCTTAGTGGCTTTGAATATTTCAAAATCGGCTTATAAGTGTCGATTTTTCTGCATTGCTATTCGGAGCAACAAATCTGTATCGGGAGAGATTTAACATGAGAGCAAATAATTAAATGAAGAGCACACAAGTGATGATGGTGGAAAAAATGATATGCGTTCGCCTGATATCTCGATTCAATTCATCACGAACTCATTCGAAATATTTTCATTTTGAAATATACACAAAAAATAAATCAATGTGGAACGCAGATAATTCCACATTTCATCCGCCATATAAATCAAATGTGAGAAAGTGAACGACAAGAAAGAAAAAAAGAACACATTGTGCGAACATCCAAAACCAAGACAAAATTAATCATCAAGAACGAAAGTCGCGAATAAAATTCGAAACAAATTGAAGAAAAAAAGCGAATACAATGAATTTATCATGTGAAAAATTCCCGAGTCGTGGTTTTTCCTTTATCTCTTCATTTTTTTTCTCGCTCCTTTTCTACTCTCAAACTTTCTCTCTCTCCGTGTGTGTGTGTGTTCCGGCGATTATTTGTCATTTTGATGTGCCTCACGCATCGTTTGCCAACCATCCGTGGAATGATTTAAATGATTGCGCGATAAATTCAGGCTCATTTTCAAAAATTATAAATAACGTTTTGCTTGATTTGTTGCCACTTCGTTTGGCCTATGATAAATACGATGAAAGTTTCTGATCCCCATTAGTGACAAATTGTGTGATATAAAAATTCAAATAAAAACAGGTTAACACATAAAGCATCGAATAAAATATGTGTGAGGCGAAAATCATTTTGACATAAAGAAAGAATTAAAAAATAAGATCGACATATATTTTTTTTTCTCTCATATTTTACCAGATAGCACTGAAATAATGTCAAAGTCTATTAAAATGGTCCCAACGTGAAGCGCTTCCGAAATATAGCCATCAAATTAAGTCGCATCGAACGCAAAAGACTGTCGCTGACACAGTAAATCATTTGCTGAGTGAAACTATGTTGTCGCAAACGGTTTTATTGTTTTTGTTGGTGTTTGATCATGTTGTTTTGCCCCCTTGCTTTATTACGTGGAAACAAATTGACGCTAAAAATATCGAATAAAATCCAAAACGAAAACCGAGAGATATACAGAGAGATTCAAATGACTTTAATTTATTGGTGTTGTGTTCGATCCACCTCCGGAATAAAAAAAAATTACATTAAGCTCTTATGTCAAGAAATTAGAGAAATTAATTTCGATTTCTCTCTCTCTCTTCTCTTTTGCTTAAATGTCGACAACAAATAAACACACATCATAAAATATAAAAACACATATAAATAATTTGCAGCCCAATCTATCTACATTCTCTCGCTCATTTCTCTCATTGTTCGAACAATGGATACCAATAATACGAAATACCTTTCTATTAAAAAAAAAAAGAAAGAAAAATATCCATGCATTTATCATCGCACTGATGATTCGTCATTGGAACTGACGATTGAGCACTCCATATTTTGTCAAATAAGTGAATAGTTTCAAGTGTACTTCCATAAAATGCCACAACAAACCGACGAAATAAAACAAAAAAAAGTCAAGCACCGTGTTTTTATGTAAGCAATTAACCCGAGATATTTCGAAAATAGTTCTATAAAAATGGTAATTTCATTGCGTAAAGAAGGAGTTGAATGCATCGGGAACAAATTTCACAGTTATACGGACTCAATAATATAAATAAACCTAATAAAATCGTTAAATTTGGATAGAAATGCCTATATAAACCAATGATGAAAATATATAAAAATGAATATTATGCGCGTTATGTGCAAACCGCACAACCCGCGTGAACATTATTGGTCTCGTCGCCGCGACCATGTTTTGTTCGTCATTCATAGCGATCTTACGCGATCTCATCTCATCAAATCTTGAAAACTTAAGAGCACATTCGAAATGCAATTAAAACACACATACCAATAAAAAAGTACTCGGTTTAAAAATAGTCCTGAAATTGCCATCATTGAGCAAGCAATATGCCATACGGTTTGGTTTTTGCGAAGCCAACACAATAATTCCATTTTGCGTGTACAATATACGAGAGTGTGTCTCTCTCCCTCTCTCTCTATCTGTGTGTGTGCTGTGTGTTGTCAATGCATTTCTCATTTCCCTTTTTTATTATTTATCGACATCATTTCATAGGAACTGTCGCATTTGTGTATGTCTCAGTAGTTGTTGATGCGATATGATATGCACGGCAACAAAACCACACATCACAATCCACATTAACAACATTTAAATGATTCACACACTTTTTATTTTTTCAATCCATTGCTTGCGTTTTTTTTTCAAGTCATTATTTGCGTTTTTTTTTCACTTGTCATTTTATTATTGCATTTGCAGCCGTTTGGCACATTTCAGTGTGCATCGAAAAATTGAACAAATTGCGTGACACTGTTTAACAACTGTTTTAATATATCGATGGTATTTTTTTTTTCTATCCCACTCTTTGTTCTAGGTACTCCCATCAATCGGTTGCCAATCATGGCCAAATCTGTACTGGATTTATATGAACTATACAACTTGGTGATAGCCCGAGGCGGTTTAGTTGATGTTATCAACAAGAAATTATGGCAAGAAATTATCAAAGGTTTGCACTTACCATCAAGCATCACAAGCGCAGCATTTACTCTTCGAACACAGTAAGTATTTGTAATTTGTTTCGACTTGTTGTTGTTGTTTTTTGCTCATTCTTATAAATTTATTTTGTCATTTGCGTGTAAAGGCAAAGAAAAAAAAATGTATTATTTCATTTGCATTTGCTGGCTTTGATATAAATAAGGCGTTGTAATGGGAAATATGCAACGATTTTATATTAAAATGATCGCATCAATTTAATTGAACTGATTATCATAATTTATGATAATTTCACAATCACGCCAATTTTCAAGTCGGTTTAAATCAAAGAATTCTTCGTTTTCACTTCAAACGACCGGATAAACTATACAATCAAAAACATTTCACATAAATATCATAATACTAATTTACCTCATCCAAATGAGGATCATCCGTAATCATTTATGAGCAATCCATGTTTAGCAAACAATGTCACCACTCTTTGTATTTGTCATAAACAATCCCATTTCTGTGACCTCTCTGTCTCTGTCTCTCTCACTTGAAAAGTTGTTCGGCAAAGTGAATTAAAATTGTAAATCAAACAAGGTGAGAAAAAAAAACACCAAACGCTCAAATGCACCCATTAAATATTAATGTGATTATGCATGTTAAGAGCGTAAATTTCTGTTTCTTCATCGGGCAAATCATCTCATCGGCCGCAAATTTTTCGAATTGAATAAAATATAAAATCGGGCAAGAGAAAATGAAAATATATCATCGCAACAATATTTGAAAGAGCGCTTTATTTTCGGTGAACATTTCAATGTTGTTTAGCAAATTGAAAGCAATTCATTTTCGGTCGCCTACTCAAGAATGAAAAACATGTCATGATTGCACATTTGCCTATTGTTCAAATGGTTTTCATCATTAAAAACCTCACCCAATTCGTAATTTGACGTTTTATCGCTTTTAATTTCATTATTATTATCGTTTAAATATCGACTGAGGAAAATATGTGTGTGCCGGTATTATATATTACATTCAATGAATTTTGCTTTTTTTTAACACCTGTCATAATTCAACACATATCTTCAAAAGATAATACCGAACTCGTATTCGTTGTGAATGTGAATATGAATGTGGCCGTAATCAAATTTGAATGTTCGCGTTGCGTTTTAATGTGTAATTTGATTTTCGGAATTTGCCATTTTAAAACTTTCAAGAATTCCACAAACTGTGAATTTGTTTGCATCCCCAATGCCGCCCAAATCGTATTAAAAGCATTACATTGTTGCATATTTCTATGAAATTTTATTGGTGGTAATAAATAAGTATAAGTGTTTTGTTCGGAAGGGGCGGATTTCCACTGTTTTCCAATGCGTTGAGTGCATGTATCTGAGTTGTGTTTTCAAGCAATCGAAAGGTACGGTACAAATAAAATCCAAATCAAATAAACAGTATGTACAACAAAGCAATTAAAGTAAAAAAAAAACATGTATCAATGTTGTGCAACAAAAGCGGAACAAAGCCGATCATCTCCATTTAAATGAAGGAAAGAAAAAACCGCAACTGCCACGGAGGCGAGAGGGGGAAAAAGTGAAGAAAATTATTGGCCAAACGCGCACTGAAATGACGATGAGCAAAAGAGAAAGAAAGAATGGTCGCGGCCACATGTGCATACTATATAACCATTTTTTTTTTCATGGCGATGTTATTTGTTCGACATGGATGAGTGCATCCGTACGAAGAGAAATGCATCTAATCGTTTATTGTTTGTGCATTGCTTATGTATTTGTATCGCATTCATGTAAAAATCCATCAAATGCACGTCTTTCAATCGATTGGTGAACGGCACACAAACACAAACACATACACACACAACACAAATGTCAATATTGTGAGTTATTCGCGAGACGGCATGTATGATGTTATATGCCGACCTCTTAATGAATTACGATGCAAATAAATGTCAATAATAAAAATGCTGCAGCAATAAAGTGTTTAAAAAGGTGCGCATATCTATAAATGATCCGATTGTAAATTTAAGCTTTACTTTTTCGAACAATCCTTTCGGGGTTTACTGTTTTCAGTCCACAAATCGATTTTGCGAGCCATTTTATTCGGACGCTCCATCAAAGCAAAATCGAACAAAATGAACACAAACATAAGAAGGAAAAAACCCGGCATGGAATACCATTGTATCCAGAAAAGTTTCCTGCAAACATATACCATGTACTCCATTATTTATTTTGAATAAATTATACGCTTTTGCTGTTGCATATTCTTTTATATGCGCACAACTTTTTCTTTGGCTTTTTTTTTCATCAGATTCTTATGTTTTTGTGGACATTTTCACGTGTAAACACCATTGTATTTTTTAAAAACATTTGAATGTATACGTCGTATGTAAACTATTCTTTATTACTGAGCATCGATGGTAGCAAACGTAATTCGATAATATGAAAAATTTCATGCAGACACTTTTGAAGGCGCATCAAAATACTATGATGATATTTAAAAATATTGGTATGAATGCATCATATTTTGAAATAAAGTCTCACCTATTTTGCCTTTGTTCATTGTGTCATGCAAACTTCGACAAATGCAAAGTGTTCCTTTTCAATGAAATTAATGGAAGAATTAGAGCGGCAACCATCGTTTCGAATGTAATAATAATTCTAAATAAACAACATAAATATTAGCATAAAATTACCGCAATTCATCTAAAATGCATTTTAAAATAGCATAAATGTTGATTATTAGTGGCTTTGTTATGTGTTTGCCAATCAGCCAACATATCGAAGAAAAATATCGGTTTTGTTGATCTAAATGTCACTAAATAACAAAATACTCACTGTACTTTGTATTTAACCGCAAATGGTGATTTCTTACATTAACCAAAGATGAAACACTGAATCGTTGCTGGTATAGTTGAAGTGGCAAGAAGCTTGTTTTAGAGAAAGAAATATTGTCTTTGTTATTTTTATTTAATAATAGATAATTTCATAAATCACCATGTATATCATATTTTCATTTTCTAATAGGTACATGAAATATTTGTATCCATATGAATGTGAAAAGAAGAATTTAAGTACTCCGGCTGAACTTCAAGCAGCCATCGATGGAAATCGTCGTGAAGGAAGACGTTCCAGTTATGGACAATTTGATTCTCAAATGCAAGGACAGCTTCAGCAATTGGTAAATAAATTGTTTTCGAAAATAAAAATGACATTTTGAATGAAAAGTATTAATTTTAATTTGACCTTTGGTGCAGCAACAGGTACAACGTTCACCATTGCCCGGTGGTCTACCGCAAATGTCTCCATTATCATTGGTATCACAGAATCCACATCATCGTTTGCTACAGAATCAACAAATGGGCTTGATTCCAAATCAAATGACTGAAATGGAGCAACGTATGCTTGAATACATAAAATTGATTCAATCAAAAGATGTGACCCGTAAGTGTTTTTCTTTTTTAATTTTTATCTTTTTTTTTATCAGTTAAAATAATTTTTTATTTATGTAAAATGATTTCCATTCAAAAAGGTCCACAAAGTCCGGAATGCATTCGATCCGATACATTGAGTGCATTAGAAATGTCTCGTGTTGCACTTTGGTCAATGTACAACAACAATACAAGCCCACCAACGTCAAATAACACAACTAGTCCACCCACTAATGAACCACAAAGGTACGTATCACATTTTAACCAATACTGATTTGATTCAACCGATGTTCTTTTTGTTCTATAATCAAAATTGTAATATTTTTTTTGTGTTTACAGAGAGGCATTAAATTTAACCGAATCACCAACACATGTGATTAAGCGTGAAAGAGAAGCTGGAACTGATTATGATCGTGAGGATTATGTAATGCCATCAAAGAAAGCTGCACTACATCAATTACACACACAATTACAGTCGCAACGCGATTCACCGCACAACCATTACAATCATGAGCATCGTCGCCGTTCCGTATCACCGTCGTCACCAAATCGTCATCGCAATCGTTCGATGGAACGTGACCATGGCCATGAACATCGAAATGGATTATTGAGTTTTCATGATAATCAAAATCACACATCAACTCGCCGGCACATGTCTGCCTCACCACCAAATCATCGAAATGGTACAAATAATAACGGCAGCAATGATCTCCTCAATGCCTGCAGCCCATTGGCACTTCTATCTGGCATGCAATTCAAATTGTTTAGCCGAGGTAAGTTATTGTTATCGAAATCGGTTACAATCATACTCATCACACATTGGTCAACATTTGATTTTATTCATTTCTTTTTCACACCATTGACACAGGTTCGGAATCTGGTGAACAACAATTAGTTGTTTCAATGGAATTAAATGGTGTGCAATATGAAGGTGTTTTGTTTGCGAATCGAGTTAATGCACAATCGGCCAGCCCATCGACATCATCACCACCGTGTACACCGAGCAAAATAACACCGACCACTACATCAAGCGGTGCAAGTGCCAGCAGCCCAATGGTCGAAGACAGATCAAATCGCGTTGTTCCAACTGTGTCACGTCCATTAGTCTCGTCTTGAATCAATAACCGATACAATTAAACAAAATAAAAATTAAAATAGCAAAAAAAAAATGATGTTCATAATACGGATTGCTCTCCAAAGAGGAAGAGACATTTGATCAATTAATTATTAACCATTGACAAGTTTTGAAACTTAACATAGCACTTATTGTAGGATTGAACAAACAAGAAAAGTCACATAGATGTATGCAATAATATACAATTTCAATCATGATAGGGATATACTTGGATTTAGAACCATTTCGACAAACAAACAAATATTATCGAATAGGATCAGAAATAAACTATACAGAAAGGGAACTATGTGACATTTGAGTTTGATTCGCGTCATGCATGTTTAGTGACGCTTACAGTATAAATTAGATTTGTTTAATTGTTAGTATCAATTAATGTTTTTTTTTCTTTCATTCTGCTTTGATCTCGCGTGAAAAAAAATACAAAAAAAAAAAACATTAAATCAAGACATAATTCATCACAAATCATAGTAGATTTCACTACACGACAACTCTGAAACACAAAAACAAGTTTCAGAAATTATTCATATTTTTTTTTTTTAATTTTTATCATTATCAGAATTTACCGTGTAGTTAATTTTGCTTTTCTATCAGGGAAGTTCAAAGAAGATTTGCATTCGGGTTTATAGTGTAATTTTTTTTCTTACGATTTTTTTTAAACATAATTATTTTATGATTTCATACAATCATTCAAATATCATTCTTATATTCATTGGAACATTAAATCAATGCTTTTTGTCTCTATTTTTTTTTTAAACCGATTTTAAACAAATAAAAATTTAGTAAAAGAATTTATTAAGCAAAAAGTGTAGACATTTTCTTAGTATTTGTATTTGAGAATGAATTTACTGACACACACACACACACACACTATGTATGTATATATATATATATGAAATCTATTTATCTTGTGCACTATTCAAATTAAATAATCTGTAAACGAATAAGAGAAGGATGATTGAGTCATAAATTGACAGTGAATGAGATAAAATGGTGAAGATTCATCGCTGAGAAACTATATATATATTGCAATAATTCTAACATAATAAAAAAGATGCTAGAGAAAAATGAAATGTGCGACCCAAAGCATCTTCAAATTATCATTTCAATACAATGAAACAAAAACAAACAATTTCAGTAGCTCTATTTTGTAAATACTTACATGATCTAAAAAGAAATTGAGTTTGTATTTTTTTTCTCTCTTCACTTTCCACCGCAACCGCCAATAAAAATTACAATAGCTTTGTATAATCGAGTAAAAAAAAGAAGAAGAATCGAACACACACGCGCGCGTTTCTCTGACGTGTGAAAATAAGCATTTCAGTAGGACTAGGACGTTTTCATTTCTGATAAAAAATCATAATTTGTTTTGAATCGTTTTCTTATTACTACGCCTAAATAAGACTGTTTTAGTTGAATAATTTTATGATGTGCTTAGTGATTATTTGTTGTGGTCCATTATTAATTGAATAATCCGAATTGCTTCTGTTTTGTGCTTAGTTTAAATATTATTCGCTTCGGTTCTAATTTGCAAAACAGTTTATCAGTTGTCCTTATTTTTCTTATTTAATTCAGGGATTCCAATTCAAACATGTGATGCAAACATTTTATACATTTGCACTTGAAGGTATTCTGCACTTTTCCAGCAGATAGAAGCGAGCCGAAAGAGGGAGAGATAGTGAGAGAGAGAATGAGCATGTTAGAAAAATAATTGAAAAACTAAAATAAAATTAATGAATGAAATGTTGATGATGGCAACATAGAACGTAAATATAAAAAGTGGAGACAACATTTTAGGCTAAACATTAAAAAAACACACACATTAATACGTACTATAAATAAAGATCTAATTCAAATCAAATAGAATTACTTAATAGTTGAAGCACACATCTGAAATGGAAATGTAAAAGAAACGGACATCAATATATGAAAAGGAATGTGATGCCGTTGCTATATGGTATACAATCCAAAATCACATTGTGAAACGAACGATAAAATTGTCAAGGAACCGAAAAGTCTGTTATGTTTGAGAAATGGGCAACACAAGTAATTTCAGAATTTTTCGGAAGTTTAAGATAAATTATTAATACAATTTTTTTTTTTATTTGACATTCGTCACATATGGCTGAGTTAGTGATGAATAAATACTACATTTTTTGATTGAAATTTTAAAAAAAAAAAAAAAAAAACTATTTCAGCCAATAACGACAAAAATGACACTAGATGCTAAAGAGTGAAAGAAAAAAAAATTAATTGCAACAAAAAAAACCAATAAAAATAAAATATAAAATACAGTGCAAATTAATTCATTCAACAAATTGTAAAATGTATCTGTTAATTATAAACTATATGATTGAGACCACCAGTATCCAAGAATTATACCAAATAGATTCAAATCAAAATGTTTCCAAATGTTTATACGATGTTAATTGAACATTATTATTAATATATCGATTGGATTGAACGTTTCTTCTTGGAAAGAAAAAAAAAACTCTCCCAAAAAAATGAGGAATCTACTTCAATAAAAAAAATGCATTACAAATTATCTGGTCGAATAAATGAAGCACGATTAACAGAGACCTTTTTCAATCTGTTGATATTCAAAAAAAAAAAAAAAAATAAAAAAAAAATAATTTTATCAAAACAAAAAGCATATTTGTTGACATCACTGAAGGTGAAAGAAAACAACGGAACATTTAATAATATTAGTAGTAATAATAACAATAAGTTTATCAATGTTAGATGACAAATTAATATTAAAAATAAAAATGAATACATTTGAAATAAAACGTGTTTGAAATGTCTCATTTTAGATGTTAAATGGGAAAATAATTAGCTTCTTGCTTTTATTTATTGCTCTATTCTTCTCTTTTAGTCGAAAGAGAAAGAGAGAGAAATTAAAAATAAACAAAACTGCCATTGTTATGGTACATGCATAAAGATTCGATTTGCATTGAAGCGATGCTGAACTTTGATTTGCACGTCTTAATCGCACATGCTTACGATGTATAGCAAAGTGTCAAAGACTTGATACAGTGAAAGAACGAAAGTGATATGAAAACAAAATTCGAAACGACTACAAAAAAAAATTGACACAGCAAACAGTGCACATTACACCAGAGTCAGTGCGATTCAAAGAATGTGTGTTATCAACTAGCCGAAATAACTTTTTTTCCCTACTAAAATCATACATGCATTTTATATGTTTGTTTTGAACACCGCTTTTTTTTTAATTCAAGCTTAGCATTTCAAATCAAGAATGATTTTGTGTCAACGACTGTATGTTCCGCTATTGATACAAAGTGTACATTTTTGATGTGATTCCCAACCGAATTTTTTTTGTTCATGAACAAAAAAATTACTTAAATCATATTTTAGTGAATGTTGAGTAAATTTTGAAAAAATACGATATTAATTTCTTTTTATACTGGATAGAATGATAAAGATGTGAGAGATAATAGATAAGTAGAATTAATTTAAATTCGTTGACGTTATGAATTTTAACATTTACAATTGATAAGAGATCCTTTCACCTTATTACACCGATGGCTGAATAAAGATTCATTTTCTCTTCAAAATATGAAGTGTGATGATGACGAGTTATATTAATTCAAGTGTTTTTTTAAAATGGTGACGTAACAGTTTTTTAGAATTTTGCAGTGGTAAAAATGTATTGAAAATTATTTTAAAATCATCCGTTTTTTAAATATTTTTTTTTTTTTTTTTTTTTTTTTAAGTGCGCAACTATTTTCAATCAACAGAAATGCAGATGAAATTTATATCTATTTCTCAACAAATAATAAATGGTTCAACGAAAAATTTCAATTGAACAGATATGAATAGAAAATAAAAGCAACAAAAATCAGGTGTCACAAATGCGATCGAATTGTATGAAATAAATGGTGTTTGGCGCCTAATCAAAATATACTAATTGAAAATGATACTTTTATTCGCCGTGCTCTATGAGTAATGGTTTGTTTAATCTGGAATATTGTACTCTTTCAATCTCATAAAAGTGTATGAGGTACACAATATTGGCACAGAGTTGTAAATAAATTGAAGATCGATAAACGGCACAAAGAGAAATACAAAAAGCAGCAACAAAACTGCGTCGCGACAGGTTATGAAATATGGGTTTCAGGTAAATTAGAATAACTTGACATCTTATAGTAGCTAATCTAATGAACTGACGTCAGTGTAACTATAGCTCTCTATTTCTAGCAAAACAAAATTCATGATATGATGGATGAAAATGTTATTTAGCTACATGTGCAATGAGTGAATCAATTTCACCATGTGATTAGTGTTGATTTAGTGATTTTTCTTTTGATGTCATAGAAACTAAGAATAACCATCAAAAAAACGTTCCACAATTTACGTACATACCTATACATTTGAATATCATATTGATATCAATTCATTGATAAAAAGACAAAAAAGATTACGTCAACAACTCTTTAACAAATGATTTTTGGTTTTTAAAACAAACGCAAACACGCGTATGGGCCCGTATTATCAAATATGCTAAAAAAATGCGTCATTAGATAATACAGAGATTGTTGATTGAATTTCTTACGTTTAAAATTCGAGTCGGTGTAGTCAAATGGTGTGTATTATTTGATTTTGATTTATGACATGCTGTGCTGGTTTTGATCTATTTATGCATTGACCTTCTGTTAACAACAGCAACAATACAATGACACACACACACACACACTCACAAAAAAAAACTCGTGCATTACAACAATGTTTTATATGAATTGCATACAAACGGGTGCGTATATCATAAAATATTTTCGTTTGCGCCATCGCTGTCATTTAAGGTAATAACTTAGGTACAAATAAAGTGTGCTCCACACCGAAACTGATGAACACACCAAATACAAAAATATATATATATTCGAATTCACATGAACAAATAACCGCGTTCTCTTTCTATCTCCCCCTCTCTATTTCCCTCTCTCTCTCTCTCTGGCGCTAGCTCTGTCTCTTTCCCTTTCTCCTTCTGTTCATTAACACAATTGCATTTGGCGCTAGGTAGAGAAAAAAAATAAATAAATAAGAGCACTATTATCTCTATAATGCGTGTGTAATCGTACAGTTGTGTTTTTTTCTGCTATCCGCCGGTAAATAGTACTTATTTGTGCGCGCTGTCGCAAATCGAATAAAGGGTCAGCTTTGGAGAACGCAAAGGAGACAGATGAAAATACTTTTCACTATCTAAGAGAGTAACAGTGAAATTACAAATTTAATCAGTGTAATTCAACTGATAGGCTAACTGCGCATACGAATCAAACCCACAACCACACAAACAACACGCTACTATAACACATCACAAGCGCGAAAAATCGACTAGCTAGAGCGATATCTTTTTTTACAAAAAACAAAAATCCAAAATCCATCGATATTTCTTTTTGCATTTGAAATTTATTCAAATTTACACAACTCTCATCATCATTTCCATCATCAACAAAACGTGCAACTTATTAACAAAAAAAAAAAAAAAAAAAAAACACGCCAACATACAGTCACCATGTGTGTGTTATTTTTTTGTTTCTCTTCTTCGTCGTTGAAATTTTTATTTTTCTTCATCTTCTCTCTGTGCTGAACTGTGTTCGTTACTTCTCTTTCCTTTTCGTTGTCTATCGCCTTCGGCCGGTTTGTATGTGTCTTTCTGTTCAACTAATGTAAGCATTTTATAAACTTTATTAGCGTGCACACGTTTGAAAATATGTGTGGCGATGAAAATTCCAATTCAGCAAAATCAGCGCGATTTAAATCAGTTCATTTTTGATCATTGACTGAATACCATGCGAATAAACATTTTTCATGTAAATGTGCAGTGTAAAAATACGAAAATCGTTCTATTCAAGCGAATTGAAATCGCGTAATGTGTGCGCAAAGAAATTGAAACAAACAAAATATGATCGATGTTCAACGATTTTAAGCGTTTTTGGCAAATGACATCGAAACTGAGAGACGTTAAATTATAATATAAAAACGACGTATATTCAAACATCAAATAAAAAAGGAACGAAACACTTTTTTTTTGTCACAATAGATTATTATACACTCTACATCACAAGTGATGGAAGTAAATTAAATCAGTGAACAAAAACAAAAAAAAAAACAGTGGAAATATCAAATGGAAATATATATCGAATGTAACGAAAACAAGCTGTTTTTAACTTGCATGTGACCAGTGAATAAAAAAAAAAGTTTCGAAACGGGACTTAAGTAAGTGAATAATAAAATCTAATCATAGCAAAATGCACTCAATCTAAATGATTTGGATTGTATCAAATCGGACGCATTATTTTTAGATTTATTTAATATTATTAGTAGTCACAGCACCGTGTACTGAATGACATTTGATTTCGTTTGAAGAAAAAACTAAATCGGACAGTTTCGAAGCAAAAAAAAACAACAACAGCACTAGTGAAACATGCTTAATGATCAAAAGGTATACAAAACCCTGCATCAACGCCAATAAATAACATGCGAATCACATTCTGTTATGATGGATAATCGTTCATTCATAAGTGTACAAAATTCTAATCAGAAACAATATCAATGCTCATGTTTATACAAAACGATGATCCCAAATCTAATATCGCTTTTAATCACATACATTGATTGAGTAGGCAATGCCTACCACGCACACATTTCGAACATGATCATGTGGCATGCTTGAAGCTATTTTGACCAATCGATTGATTACAGATAGACAGCCAAACATACCAATTTTGCGCTAAGAAAAATGCAACAACAAGCGTCCGCGCAAAACAAACACAAACACACAATCCAATGAAAAACTATGCGAAGCTCAACAATTCTGAAGTAGATTGATTTGAGGCATTCCAAAGTGCGTTCAATTGAGATCATAAGCATTGGCATTGGAGCCAAAGCGGCAATTCAATCTATATATATGAAAAAAAGTTGTTCGTTCATGCTTTATCGATTTTGATTACTGTAAGCATTATGGGTTTTGTTGTCCAAAAAAAAAAACGAACAGAGACTAAAAACAGTACATTTAAGCAAATTGAATGAACGATATAAATCAAAGTGTCCATTATAAATGTGTGGTCTCTTCATAAAAATGTGCTCTTTATTTTCGTACTATCGTGTGTTCGGTTATTTAATTGCTGATAATTTATTATGCGATAATATATAAACTACATTTGTGTAATGTAATACCATATATTTCGATTATATTATTCTTGTTCATACGATTATATGGATATTTTACACGTGTGTATTGTACCTATATTTTAGTCTTCTGTCGGTGTGTTCTTATGGATTGATCATCTGGTCAATTTATCTCAACAAGTGAAAATTACCCGTTTTAGCGATTTGTTGGAGTTTTTTTGTTTCGTTTTTATTCGTCGTCGTCGTCGTTGAAATGAAAATGACAACGATTCGATGACAACAATTACAAATACCATATTGACGTTGATTGTTTGGAATTCTTCGAAAAGCTACTGTTGTTAAAAGAAGGGAAAAAATCCCATGCATACCGTATTTGAAATTTGTAAAGCATACTACGATAAATGGCATAAAAAAGATGAAATTGTTTTTTTTTTTATTTCAATTTTATACAACAATCAAGACATTGTTTTTGTCTGTGACTGTCGCTAACGGCAAAAGACAATAATTCTGATTGAAACCAACATTTTTTTGTGTGTGGCTTTTTTTCCAATCACCTTCGGTACGAAATATATGAATTGATTCGTACAGCGCTATAAAGTTAAAGCAATATAAGCGCGCTTAAAATAAAAAAACCAATTCTAGATTCATTTTTATTTGTATTTGCCAACAATTTTATGTTTATAGTTTTCATTGTAGAATATAGAGATCAAACTCAAATTCAAGCATATTCCAAACATTACCGGCCACACATCTCGGCCTCGTTAAATGTGATGCTCGTTTTTGTGTGTGCCATTTCAAAAGGTTTCTTTTTGTCGTGGTTGTTGTTGATTTGTCGTCTTTCAATTGAATCAAAAGATGATCATGTGTTTTTTTTAGTCAGTGAACCGTTGAGTTTCAAAGTGAAAGGTAACATGACAAACTATTAACAAATAAATATTGAACTTCATTGGAGAGTGAGAAAAAAGTGTGTGTGTGTGTATGTGTACGTGTGTGTGTCGATACATAACTCAATAGCCAACTGGCCGATTATTATTATACAACTATTTTTGCATGAACACATTATGAAATAATGTAGATTTTACTTAGACTTCTCTTTTGTTTGTTGATTGCCACACACGATTTAATTGCAATGGAAAATCAGCAGCATTGAGCGAGCACCTTTTCTGCGTTGATTAATTTTTTTTCCACTTCTCTTTAATCTCTTCTTGGGATTTTGTTGCCTTCAATGTATGTACGTAGCACGTTCAAACTCTATTTAGGCCTATTATAAATATGTAATTTTTGTAAAATGTAATCACTTATGTTCAAGGTTTTAATAATATAAAGTAGAATAATTGAGGGTCAAAAGGAGAAAATTCAATTGACATGTTTGTATGTTGAAAATAGTTTTGAGCACACCACTCAACCAATTTGGTACACACCTTCTGAACCAATAATAACATTTAATGCACGCTCAATAAGAATGTGCGTTGATCACCGAAAATCTAAAATTAATATCGATAATAATCAATGCAAATGTTGAATGGAGGATAAGATTTTTTTTACACGACGAATAATTACAAGATTCAATTAAGATCTTTAGTTTGTTAGGGTAAACAAAAAAAACAGCTTCATGTCATGCCATATATAATAATAATCGGTTTAGAAACGCTTAATTTGTTTATATTATTCTATGTTAGAAGCTTTTTATACGGTCATTATATAACATCAATTTTGTTATATTTTCAATCTTATTGCCAATTATCTGTTTAGCTTTGTGAAACAGTTGGTTCTTATGTTTGAAATCAAAACTGACATCAATCCGAACATCAATCGCATAGCAAAAGCCATTTTAGCCAATAAAACATGAAAAATCCGAAATTATTACCGCCCAATTACAAGATTCGGGTAAGTAAAATTCAGTTTTTGGCATCCGTCGAATATCATCGACCTACGCCATAATTTATTTTGTTTATTTTGATCTATTCATTGTTTATTTTTTCCGTTATCACATTTGTGATGCTATCAATGCACTTACACATGTGTACACATTTTGTATGTCCTCTAATGATGGAAACACTTGGTGATAATCATCAATTTTGAATTGGTAAATTATGGATAATATGTCACCTTGCTCAAACGCCACAACTTTCAATTGATTTTGAACCGGCCGCGTTTAATTCACACGCACGGCAAACAAACAAACAACAGGTGCTTTTAGTATTTCCAAAAAACGATGATGTTTGCGATATTCTACAAGATGCATGCAGCCGACTTGAAATGGACACATTCCTATCACAAACATTACCTGAAGCAATTGAATCGTTTCAAAATATTACAAATGGTGGCCACAATTTGATCATAGTCGACGGTCGATTGCCACAATCAATTCTTGATCCAGAAACTGTAGCCCGGTAGGTGTTGGTTTTGATCGAGAATATAAATTTGCTTCAAACAACGAGTACACACACACACACGCGCACGTGAGCAAAATGGGCTTTATGTATTTTCATAAGGGTTGAAAATATTGTGAGGAAATTGATTTAATTTTTGAATAAAATGGAGAAAAAAGTGGTTTCATCAAAGTTAAAATGTGCCCATTATTATGTATGCGTATGTATGTGTGTAAGACTCGAAATTGTAGCACGTTTATATTCTCATCGATTCAGTTTTGAATGTACCAGTTTTAAAATAAATGACAACCATTAACATATATTTGAATTTTGTTGTACCACGGATCTATTCCAATTTGTTTAGTGCCATTAAAACTTCAAATGGAGGTCAATATACAACATTATCCATTTTACTCAAGTCGAAGTAAGTAATAGTTGTTTTACTTCTTAGCTCTTAAGCTTTGTGCAACAGGTTGTGAGCATTTGTCCAATATTAAAATTAATATCGATATTGACTAGTTATGAATTTTTTTTATCCATTACAAATTCCATCTAATAACATATAATGATAACTACAATCAATATTTGATGCAATTTTTTAAACGAAATTGCTGATTCAATTATAGATTGCCGCACCAAATAATTTTCAATCAAAAATATTTTTCCTCTCATTAATATATGACATGTATGGTTTTCAATGAATGGAATGAAACGCTAACTCTCAATATTTGAAAAATTCACAATCATGTCATTTAATTAATTCAGAATATAAAATTCAAATTCAAAATCTATTCAATACATGAATGGGTTATTATATGAATTTGTGTATGAAATAGTTTTTATCAGCTGCAATATAAACAACATCACTTTTCAATTATTTTGAATGCTTTTATATTCTTCCTGTTTTAATATTCAATTTGAATTTTAGCACGTTCGAGAAAGATGATGCTTTCATTATGTCCTTATTAGATTCTGGTTACAGTAAGGTACATTGCTTGTATAATCATTTCAATTGGAAGACATTTGCGGCTATTATTTATTTATAAAAATTGTTTATCATTGTAATATAGTGTTTAATGGAATCGCAGTTATTGCCGGTGTATATATCGAAATTACGTGAGATTCAGTATGCAGTTCGACAACAAAGCATCATTGCTACCCAACAGGTGTGACATACGTCTTTTCGAACACAATCATTTAAATTATTTAAATATTGCCACTAACAAAATAAGCTTAACCAAAATGACGCAAAGCACGTTTTGAGATAGTCAAGCAAATGTTTAACATACATTAAACAGCCATTCATGTCTATTCACATCTCTCCCTCTCTCTCTCTCTCGCTTTCTCTAATTTAAAACTAGAAACATTTATTGTAAAAATCGAAATCGACTCACTATGATTGTCTGTTTAATGCATGTGAAAAATATTCGTCATAAAATGTACATTTTTGAGAGGATTGATCATTTAAATAGAATGGTTGTGTACAGGTTTGCTCGATCTTTTTAATATTTACACAGGTTTTATACACATCATTGAATGCCAATCATGAGCCAATTATAATCACAGACGATGTATTTCGAATGCAATATGCGAACAGAGCAGCTGAACGATTGTTCGATGTCAAAGTGGTAAGAATGCAACATAGCATATAAAATTGCTGGCTCAAATTCAAATTTTGTACACGACAAAAAACAAAGAAATACACTGCCTACGTATTTTGTTTATTCCTTATCCCACTTTAATATGAAATAAACCCATTTCAACAAAGGAAGAAGTGTTGAGCCGACCATTGGTTGATGTAACTCATTTAGACATTCAGTCAATCAACGTGGCCGCATCAATGTCCACCGAATTTGATCTAAAATTGTGCGTTAAACGAAAATCATCGGACGCTTTAAATGTGAATTGTCATTTTGTAGCTGTGACATGTATTGGACGGAAACCGACACATTTTCTCATTACATTTGAGATGACAACAAATAATTTAACCATCACAGATCATATGTCCAATTCCGATACAACGAATCAAATTGTTCTAACCGCACAACAATCTCAGCAAACATTGTCATCATCATCATCATCACCAATGATACCAAAACCAAATACAGAACCACGTGGTTCACTACACGGCAGCATTAGACGCGGTATATATGTAGATATAGATTTGTTTTTATTTCAATATTTATATTCGTTTATATTCGTGTATAGGTTCATATACATCACTGGGCTTTGATGCGAGGTCTATAGCATCGGAAAATATACGGCGAACAAGTTTAGCAAAATTATCTGCACTGCCACTTGAAGCACCAATTACAAAAGTAATTTCGATGAACATGCTTTTATTTTTCGTCACTTCAAATCAACTAAAAAATCATAAATGTTTGATTGAATTCAATTGAAGGTGGTTACTATTTTAAGTCAAGTTCAAGAAAGCTGTTCACCAGATGAGGCAAAACTATTGGACAAAGTTATGGAATTTTTAAAACGTGAAGGACTTTACAGTCCTCAAGTAAAAGACATGCGTACCGATGACCCAGTGGCAAATGATTTAATTGGAGCGTTGTTATTGTCGGTAAGCGACTTAATTTTATTGATTGAATAACAATTATTCGAATTGATTTTTAATTGTTACTGTTTGTGTTGTTGTTGTTATCTTCATTTTAGCAAGGACCTTCAAACACTCTATCATCTCGTCGTAGTTCAAATGATTCTGTGGTGCGATCGACAAATCGTCAAGGTTCATTATTGTTGCCATTGAAAGGGAAAGGCAACTCAATTGTGAATGATTTACTTCAAACTTGTCTAGACTGGAATTTCGATATATTTCGCCTGGAGCAAATTAGTGAACGTCATCCATTGGTTTATTTAGGCATGGAATTATTTCGCAGGTGGTTAATTATTATAATCTAATTGACATTTTTTTTAAGCGACGTTGATTGATGTAATTCTTCAAGTTTTCATTAATATTTCATCGTGTTGGCAGATTTGAAGTATTTGCAGCATTCAACATTGACGAGAAAACGTGCAAGGCTTGGTTAAGCGTAATTGAGGCTCACTATCATTCAACAAATACATATCACACAAGTACACATGCCGCCGATGTTATGCAAGTAGGTTAATGAAATGCCGCTTCGGCATCTATTGAACTCTGAACACACTTAAGCATTAAGCCATACACTGGCATGTACGCACCGCAAACGCTAACACACTCTTTGGTTTCAGGCGACAGCAGTTTTCCTATGTAAACTACAACAAAGAGATAGTCAATTAATGGATCGAATCGACGAAGCAACCGCCCTAATATCAGCTGCAGCCCATGACATTGTAATGCATACGATCGATTTTCTCACGTCCAAACTCAAATTCACTTCATTTCAGACACGTAACATTTCTGTTGTTGTTGTTTTTTTTTTTGTAAATTACAGGATCACCCGGGCCGTTCATCGGCATTTTTATGCAATTCAAATAGTTCACTGGCCATATTGTATAATGATAGTTGTGTTCTTGAGTCTCATCATGCTGCTCTCATGTTTCATTTGACTTTGAACGATGATAAAATAAATATCTTCAAAAATTTAGATCGAGAAACTTATAAACTGGTGCGATCCGTTATAATTGATATGATTTTGGCAACAGAGATGACCCGACACTTTGAACATTTGGCCAAATTTGTAAGCGTTTTTGGAGCAGAAAATGAACACGAAGTACATACCGATTCCGATGATAATCATATGTTAATTAGACGGATGTTAATCAAATGTGCCGATGTAAGCAATCCGGCGAGACCATTCCGTTTTTGTGCCGAATGGGCCGAAAGGTAATTGTAAAACACGATTAAATCAAACAAATATTGGTAATATAGTTTATTAATCACCCACGCCCACACAAACACACAGAATTGCCGAAGAATACTTTACTCAAACGGACGAAGAGAAGAGGATCGGTTTACCGATTGTGATGCCAATGTTTGATCGAACAACATGTAGCATAGCAAAAAGTCAAATTGGTTTCATTGAATTTATCATTCAAGATATGATGAAAGCATGGGACAGTTTTATTCGTATGCCACAACTAATCACCTGTATGGAATACAATTACCTACAATGGAAACAACAAGATGCGCAACTATCTTCTTGAATCAATACGAATACATCAGTTTATATATACAAATATACACACACACATATATATAATATATATTTTAGATTTCTTGTATTTATTTCGACATTTTTAATTGGTTGTTTTGACATACAGCCGCATGGAATTAAAACATACGAAATTTTGTGTTTTTATATATTTCAATGGATTGATCAACTGACAAAAATATCTTGTAAGTGTAGATTTTCCATCATTCAATCAAAATTCTTGGCGTTGTTGTTGTCGATTTTTTTTTGCGTATCGCAAAAATATCGAGATCAAAAACATTTGACAAATATGAGAATTCGCATTTTTTTTTCCTTTCGCAATTCTCACCAACTTGACTTAGATGGAATAATCGAACAGAAATTCCCATATTGGGCCCGATAGACTTGTTAAGTCTAACTAGATCTTGGAAATTACAAATACAATTTACAACAGTAAATTGGCCATTTATTTAGTTACAAACACTGATGTCTTCTTATTCTTTTGTGTTCATTAACGTAATACTATCAATTTCAAATTAACACACTAATTGATCATCAATTTAAAACATTTATTTGTTTGATGTTGTCGCTCTGTAGTACAGAAAATGTCGATAGAGAGCGAACGAGACAAAAAATAACTATAACAAAATTAACGCATTCATTTCGAATTCTCTCTCTCTCGCTCTCTCTCTATCTCACTCACCCACTATCTCTGTCTTGCTATTTCAATGTAATTTAAGCAGGTTTATATTTTTTTAAATGGAACCTAAAATGTCGTTCAATTTTGATCGAAGAATTGCTGTATTAATTTTCGAAAATTATCCACAGTAACAGGTTCAATGTGCGTTTGCTGAATGCAACTTTCCATAAAAACAAGGCCAGCTCATTTTTGCAATAAATATTATTATGCGTGCGCTTGCTAATTGGAAATTAGCAATTAATGACGTGATTAACATCGACCTGTGTGAATAATTGCGACAATCAATTTCATCTATAATAGATCATTTTATAAAGACTCATTTCTGAATCGTTTATTTTTGTCATTTTGACATTTTTAAATGCCATCTCTTGCATTTAATTTTGACATTGAATGGAAATATTTAAATGTTGGGTGATTTTGTGAAAAATGACTGGATGAAACACAGATCATGGAGCATTCATTTTTTCGTCGCATTGTAAATGGATTGTATTTTTTTTTATTTGAAACCAATTAAAATTGATAAAAAAACTAACACCAAACACCCACTATAGTGATAGATATATATAGATATTGTATTATTTGTCGAAAGATTGATTTTATTTCGATGATTTAAATTAAGTTCGAGAAAACAGTCTTTTTTCATCATTATCAACTAAAATTTTACTGAACCGATAGAATTACTTTTTATGTAATTTGAAATTTCAACTTTCAACGGAATATAATCTATGTACACGATTTAATAGGCAGCGCCATCTATTGTTCAATCTGCATGTATTCGACATCTAGAGTTGAAAGTAACAATATTGGCATTACCGTCGTACACTCATATTAGTTATAAGTGGGGAATAGGGAAAAAAACAAGTTTATTTTTTATTTTTAATACTATTGAGAAGAAAATCGCATTGTCAACAAACAATTGAAGAAACAATTCAAGTCTATCAAATTGAATAGTGATTTTTATCGTATTTTTTTTGTCTCTGTATTACATCACGGTGTCGACAATTTTTATTTAGAGAAAGCTATTTTACATTTGATAATCTATTGAATTGCACTATTGAATACTGCAATCGCTGTAATTATTTACAGTGGCCACTGTGAATGTCTATTTTAATTTTTCAAATCCCCTTCAATACAAATAAAAAAAAAACATAATAATACATGAAAAGACGAGTTTTGTCAGACAACAATTACGTACAAACAAATAAAAAAAAACAGAACAAACAGTTTTATTTGATTTGACTTGGCAAATTCTAGTCAAAACAACACACAGTTTAATATTTCTGTTCAACAATTGATATTCAAGCGATTGGTAAGTATATATGGTGCTGTATAATTTCGATCTAATTTAAATTGGCAAATAAAGAGAAAAAAGTGTTCGCGGCGATGAAAATCGAAATTGAAATGTAACCCTATTGCAATTGATGAATATCAGAATTTGTGGAAAATGAGAGAAAACAGAACGAACGGCAGATAGACAGAACATTGAATTTAAAGTGCGTCACAGATTTGTAGTAAAGTCACGAAATCGCATCGAACTCGGAACGAAATGTTTGATAATTTATTATTTAAATGATTTTATTTTGAGAGACTTTGCATTTCCAACACGTTTGATTTATTTATTGCTTGCCAACACTCACAACGCAATATAGAAATTTACGTTCGCGCTCTCTCTCTATTTTCGTCATAGCATGCAATGCAACAGTGATCCCGCCGATGATTACCATTGTACACGATAAAAAGTCATTTTAATTGCGGCTACCTGTTTAATGTATCATAATGGTTGTATGCATTTTTTTCCGATATTTATTTTTCAACGTTGAAATCATTTTTTCAATCAATCGTTTCACCAGCTGAAGGCCATGGTATGGTTATTGTATGTTTATGGTTGTGTGTTTATGGTATATATTCTTGTGGTGATTGACGGAAGAAAAAAAAAACTAAAACATATACAAACAAGCACACTCATGCACGTTCAATTGTTCACGGAACCGAGGTTGTGTTTACTTTACACATTTTATATATCCAAGTATACCCAAGTGGATGGAAAAGAGTGTATTTTGCGCAATCGTCAAGTTTTGTAAATTATATTGTTGTTGGACTACATCAAAATATTGAAGCACCACTGGAACCAAGTGCCATAGATTGAATGAAACGCACGAAAGAATATATATATATGATTCGGTTGCAAACTGTTGAAAAACAGAAACAGTCAACAACAATGGGTTTTGTTTTTTTGTTGCAGAATTCTTTGAAGTAAACACACAGGTGAAAAAAAACATCATGTAATTGGAGAAAAAGCGATATGTGTGAAAATATTAATGGTCGTGTTGGTTGATAGTCAAGAGTGTAAGAGTAAGAGAGATAGAGTGAAATTTTGCATGTGGTTTTTTTCTTGCCACCCATCTAGTCTATATCTAAAAATATTTTGTTAATTTAATTGAGTGACTAATTTACAATTGTTGTATTCTCTTTGTTTCAGTTGAATAAATTTTAATCAAAATAATGGCACCACAACCTGATAATATACCGCCACCAAAGGCCGATTTTACAGCGCCGCCACCATATGAGGCAGGCGATTATACATCGACCGGTCCAATTGAACCGAGCAAATTGCCCACATACGAGGAAGTTCAGTTGGAAAAAAGTCTACACGGGGAACCAATTCTTCAACAAGCAATCTTACCGCCATCGGTATGCCCACCACCACATCCAAATCCAGCAAATGTGACATTTATTGCACTATCCGATACCACAGATCCGGAAAATATAACATCCGATAATAGTTTATTGGGCACAGATATAATTTTCGTAACCGCATTTCTGATTGCATTCATATTCAATTGGATAGGTTTTTTGATGTTGACATGCTTTTGTCACACAATTGCCGCTCGTTATGGTGCTCTCTCAGGATTTGGTCTATCATTAGCCAAATGGACACTTATTGTAAAACACAACACCGATCTGGCATCGCATGAAAATTCATGGCTATGGTGGTTAATAATGGCCTTTGGATTTTTGATCTGTGTACGGGCATTAGTTCAATATGTCAGCATTAAACGAACATGGCGTTTACTGTCCGCATCAGCGCAAGAACGATTGTTATTCTTTTACTAGAAAACGACCGATCCATCTTGGCGCATTTAAGCAACAACAACAATAAAAACAATGAAACTTTTCAGAACTTTCTGATCTGAAGACTACTGTGAAAGACAACATAAGAAAGTTTAATCTCGAATGTGTCATTCTTTATTTCGTTAAGATATTTTGAACTTTTTCCATGTTTGATCCATTGAAGAGGCAATTTACACATACACACATATACACCAATCGCTTCAAATTCACATGAGTTTTATCAAGGTGAAATTGAATGAACATTTTCATTGTCATACGTTTGAGTAAAATATGAATGAATTATATAGTGATATGTGCAATTTTATCAGATTTTCTTTATTTTTTTTTAAATATTATGTTCTCTTTTATTTTTTTTTTCGAATAAATTCTACTGGTCAGAGGATGCAACGAAACTCAAATGCAATGTGTACCGTGCAAATGTTCAGTCAGTTTCCTTTTTTGTTCGACTGCAGTGAGATGGGCCAAATTTAGTTCACGAAATATTCTTATTGCAGTATTTTTATTTTCACAATCTCTTTCTTTCAACTTCTCTTACCTTTTTTTTAAATGAAAATGATATATTTGGTTTTTTATCTAATGATATGTGCTATACTTCACAACGTCATGAGTCATTAGAATTGTATTAAGATGTTTAGGCTGAGATAAATGTTTTAGTGGTAAGGCAAAATGAATTTTACTATAAAAATAAACAAAAGAGCAAACCTAGACGCAGAGTATTTCATTTATTCATTTTTAAATCAATTTCAGGCCCATTTAATATTCATTTTTTTTCTTATTTTTTTTTCTTTCTCTGTTTCGCAAGGCTGTGGTAGTTAATGGAGTAAAGGGAATAAAATTTCTCTTGAATCAAGAAAGCTTTGAAAATATGTGCAATTTCGCTAATTCAGTATAACAAAATGTTATGGAAAGCAAGAGAAAAAAATTGTTGGTAAATACATGTGACAAATATGTTTTCATTTGTCCCTCTTGGGACTATCATCAAAATGTCGTATAAAAAATGGATAATCGATTGTCGATTAACATGCTTCTTTTCAATTAAATAGATTGAACAATGAGCAGTTATGTATGACACACACACAGAAATATTTGACATGATAATGATAATTCACACGTGGAAATGTCATCTATATAAATGGCAATGACAGCAGTTGCAATGGAAAATAGAAACGAAAAACAATAAATAAAACAATTCAATGATGAATTCGTAAATGTACGTTTTAATAATAAAATTTATCCATTTATTATTATGTTCGACATACACACAAACAATTTGTATATTGTAGAACAAAACACGGGGAGCTGAAACACGATGATGATGATGGTATTGTGTTTATTTAGCTTCTTTCTTTGTTTCTGCTTTACCACCACGGATTCTACCGGTACGACGGGCAGCAATGAGACCAACTTTACGACCGGCCGATGTTCCTCGTTTGACAGTCGAGGCTTTACCAATGTGTTGATGGTTACCACCACCGTGAGGATGCTCAACGGGGTTCATAGCCACACCACGAACCTTTGGCCAGCAGTTACGCTTACTAAAAAAAAGAAAACAAAATAAAATATTATAAATACTCTAACAAATGATTCGACTTTGAATATGGTAATATTTCTCTTAGTCACATTCATCATTCTAAATATGTGAATAAATCGATTAAATACGTACACTTTGTATTTGTGGTAAGCACGACCAGCTTTCAAGATTGGTTTGTCGATACGTCCACCGCCAGCAACAATACCAACCATAGCACGGTTGTTTGATGGTACAACTTTTTTAGCGCCCGATGGCAACTTGACACGAGTTTTACGTGTGTCTGGATTGTGGGCAATAACTGTTGCATAGTTTCCAGATGTACGGGCTAAACGTCCACGATCACCGGTCTTTTCTTCCAAATTGCAAACAATGGTACCTTCTGGCATTTGGCTCAATGGCATCACATTGCCGATTTGCAAAGTGGCTTTCTTTCCGCAGTACACAAATTGGCCAGTGTACAAACCTTCTGGGGCAATGAAAACTTCCTTGCGAATTTTGTAGCGGTATGGATCGCGGAAGTGCACGAGGGCAAGTGGTGCACCACGACCTGGGTCATGAACGACTTCCTAAAAAATCAACGATGAAAATTGTGTTATTCAAATGTCAAACATCGATTGATAAACAAAACACATGTGTTCAATAATGAACTGAATTGATGGCCTTTTTTAAATCACAATTAATCACAATTCAAATTACATTTTAAACACTTTCATTTAATTTTAAACACGTTTTTATTTTGATTAAAAGTAAGGTTAATACCTTCACTACACCCTTGATGTAACCATGACGTTCAGCGTAATCCAATGAACGCAATTTGGCGGCTCCCTTCCGTTTTTTCGTATGGGCTACGAAAACTGATCCAGCTCCTTTACGCTGAGCGCGAATAACACGACCCATTCTGATAATCTAAATTTTGATTGAAATAGAAAGAGTTGGCAAAACATAAATTTATTGTTGATCACACATGTTTTCAATGGGATTCCAATTTCAATATAAGTTCACATTTCACTTTGCACAGCCAAGTCAAAACTTAGCAAAATACTTAGTAAAACACGACCAATGTTAATGTGCGACAAAAATGGAAAATTTCTTTGAAAAAAATCGTACAAAGTAGAAAAATTTGTATTTAGAGCAAAAATTAATACAATTAGAAACGATTTAATAATATTTTCAGTGGCCGATGATCGAAAATATTGATGAAATTTTTCGATTTTTACGGAACAAATTTTTATAGCCGTACGTACCGAATGTAGTTACTTTAGAAAAAGAAAGAGGTTAGATTGGCTGACAGTTCAGTTAACACGAGTAAAACATGGTTGCCGTCAAAATTCACTCATTTTCCATATACGTTATAAATCAGGCAACACCAAAACTATAATGTAAATGTCAAAACCTGTTTCGTTATGCTTCCGCGAAAAAATTTCTTTTTTCTTTTCGAAAAATAAAATATTTTGGAGTTTATAAGAAAAAATTACAAACATCTTTCGTTTTTTTGTAAAAACTGTTTTTTTTTTCGTTCTGCAAAAATATTAAAATGACTCATCTATATTCCGAGTGGAATAGTGAAAATCCCAATGGGATGAACGAGACAAATATATGTGAAGATGAATGGTAGTCGTTTCGTTGAAAATTGGTAAAAAGGGCCACACTAGAAATTATATGGGAGAGGTCTCTGTTGTCATTGCACATAGTTGTAAGTTTCTATATTAAAAACAAAGTGTTTTGTAATATAGAATAACAACAGTAATTGTAGACGTAATGAAAATTGTATTGTTTGCCAATTGAATGTGTATTGTATCTGTGGATAGTATTATTTTAAAGTATTTCATTCATATTAATAAAATAAAAAGTAATAAATTGAACTGAACGAGAGAAGAAGAAGAAGAAAAAAATATCATACAACAAAATGTTAAGCGTATTGGATAATTGTTCGTATGCAACATTATCAGCAATAAACCATCACGGATCTACGCTGCCTGAGATGTCACCCGACCAACAAAAGCTCCTAATAGAGATACGTAAACGAAAACAGGAATTATTGCTGGAGATACAACAAATAAAAGATGAATTATGTGAAGTGGTCGCTGAAATGGAGGCTCTCGACTCACAAGACGATTGCAAGCACTCAAATAAAGACAAACAAATGTCGATCGGTCGAAAAAAGTTTAATATGGATCCGAAAAAGGGCATCGAATACTTATGTGAAAACAATTTATTGCACATGGATGCCCAGGATATTGCGCATTTTTTGTACAAAGGCGAAGGTTTAAATAAAACGGCCATCGGTGATTATTTAGGCGAAAAAAGTGATTTCAATGAACAGGTGCTAAAGGCATTCGTTGAACTACACGATTTTACAAATTTAATATTGGTACAAGCTCTGCGACAATTTCTTTGGTCGTTTCGATTGCCTGGTAAGTGTTGATTCAAGTGTATTTTATCTTTGGAGTTTAAATACGAAAGCAAGTGTTAATTCAAACGTATCTTATCTTTGGATATTTATCAGGCGAAGCGCAAAAAATCGATCGAATGATGGAGTGTTTTGCACAACGCTATTGTCAATTAAATCCAGATATATTCACCAACACAGATACATGTTATGTGCTAAGTTTTGCAATAATCATGCTGAATACGTCATTACATAATCCATCGGTAAAGGATAAGCCAAGTATTGATCAATTCATATCAATGAATCGTGGCATTAATAATGGCGGTGATTTACCACGAGAACTACTTGAATCACTATATGAATCCATTAGAACCGAACCATTTAAAATACCACAAGACGATGGAAACGATTTGATGCACACCTTTTTCAATCCCGACAAGGTACATATTTATTTTTCATTCATCGAAAAACATTGACGGCTTTATTTATTTATAATTTTGTTTTCACCCCGATTAGGAGGGATGGCTGTGGAAACAAGGCGGCAGGTACAAATCGTGGAAACGAAGATGGTTCATTTTGAATGACAATTGCTTATATTACTTCGAATATACGACGGACAAGGAGCCAAGAGGTATTATTCCATTGGAGAATATTCGAGTGCGAGAGATCCAAGATCGAAGTAAACCACACTGTTTTGAATTGTATGCATGTGGTGGTGCGGACATTATTAAAGCATGTAAAACTGATTCAGAGGGTAAAGTGGTTGAGGGCAAACATTCCGTTTATAGAATGTCGGCGGCCACCGATGAAGACAAACAAGAATGGATCAATCGATTAACACAATCCATTTCGCATAATCCGTTCTATGATATTTTGGTGCAACGAAAGAAAAAAGCGCTCACAATGAGCTAATAAAAAAATCAACATGGCATCAACGTATGTGCAACAAATCGAATCGAACAATTTCCGAGATTTATACTTACCTAACGAATTGGTTTAGACATAAACGACTTCGATACACTTTTCATCAATTTTTTTCAGAAAAAGAAACTGTGGTACAATTGTAGTTAACTGACGTAGATTTTTTTTTCTTTTGAACAATCACACATATTTTTATCGCATCGAATGAGTTACACATATTCTGTGGTAACCATAGCGTAATTTTTTTACTTCTTCAAACATTTCATATATGTTTTTGCACTTTCACCATGTTCTACCACAGTTTCTTTTCTCTGTGTTATTGAAAATCGAATTCAATACATTTGTGCCAGAAATGTTATTTCCCAAGAAAATTTGTGTTCCTTAACTGCTTCTCATCCACAAAATTAGCTTAGATTTACCGATTACTCAATACAATTCCGCCGACACCACATATGTTAAATACAAAAAAAAGTATTATGAATTTTTAAATTAAGAGCAGCTATATATACACTATTTACGTACAAATATCGCATGTTTAAAAACAAATCACAACTTGTTCCTTCTTTATATATATATTTTAATTCATTGTCATTCATTCATCCCCGTGAATTGTTTAGAAATATGTCATTCTATTCATTTAAATGTTGTTCATCATAAAAAAATCGTTTTGTATACACAAAACAATTGTAACGATACAGTTTCAAGTTTTGTTTTTTCGTTGAAAAATCGAAACAGATTATGGCATTGAAGAAAGAAAAACATAGTTTTTATTTTCGTAATCGAAAAAAATGTTTAATAAATTTTTAGCTAAATGAAAAAAAAAACATAATTTAGACGCAGACATCTTTATTATCTCTAATATATTTACACATGTTTTATTTACATTGATTAAATAATTGTACTGATTTTATTAATGGAATGAACACAGTATTTTGCAAAAGAATGTATGTTCAAAGGATTTATGTTCAAAGTATTTTTTTTTTAGAAAAGACTGTCTTTTTTCACCACACAAGAATATTTGAATATTTTGAATGCAGCTTGTACAATAATAAAGAATTAGTATTTGATGGAAATGTAATGTGAATTAACAAAACAAAAATTATTGCAAATACTCAAGGAAATTTTGCATGTTTTTTCGTTCATCCACTGTCTATATTTTTTCTGATCTCCTCATCTTTTGTAAATTTTCAAATACCATTTCCAATGGGCTGCTGACGAAGGTTCTTTTGTTTTTAAATAGAATATCAAAATATTTTACTCATGTTTAACATCATTTCAACAAAAAAAAATCATTTTTGTGATTTTCATGGAAACGATATGCTATAAGTGAGAGATTGGATCTATTCTAACGACAAATAAATAAATAAATGAATAAATAAGTTTAGAAATAAATAAATAAATAACTTGTAAATATAAAATAAAAATAAACAAATGATTACTGGGCCATCGCAATATTTTTGTGATTTTCGCTTTTGAAATTCTCCTTTTGATTTTCGCTTTTGGCAAAAATGGAAAAATACGAATATTTATTTTCATTTTCGCGAAAATTGACTATAATTGAAGGTATCTTTAGAAAAAATTTATTTCATAATTGTTCCTGATTTTTCGTTTTGTTTCAGAAATGTATCAAACATACTGATCGTCCAAGTGTTTTGTTTTTTTTTTTTACCTTGACTATTCTATTTTTGATTACTATTTAGCGAAAAAAAGAAAAAAAATAATTGACAACATATACTGTTTGGAAACTTCATTTCGGTTATGACACAATGCTATGGCCAGCCCTATTCTCCTTGGCTTTTGCTGCCTTGACAGCTCGATCGCGGAAGAAGAAATCAATTATTGGATGATAGTTATAATTAACCCGTTTTATTAAAACTTTGGATGGTGTCAATCGTGGTATTTGTGCATTTTTTACGGGCACACTGATTGGCGTGAATCCATTTTTACTGGGACGTTCAGTGTCGGTTCCATCATCACTTCCAATCAATACCGGCGTTTGACTTGACGTATCCGATGCACGATTTGCGATTGGAATTGACGATTGTTTGCGCTTAAATTGTACATCGTGCTCATACTTTGGGCTGGGCGGTGTAAGAAATGTGTCAGGCAGACTGCTTGTTGGACGTTTTAATTTTTTTCTTTTTTCAAAACGTTGTTTCTTTGTAATTATTGGCCGAAATACAGCACCATTTGGTTCACTGGGCGATTCTTCGGCATCACCTTCATTATCGTTATAATCATTGTTGGCCAATGAGTACAAGGCATCGGACGCAGAAAATCGTGTCTCAAACAAATCTTGATCATCGCCTGCATGTGGACTTATCGGCGGAAATTTTTCTCTGTATCCATCAATTTGGCATGAACAACATGTTGGAACCTTATAAATTGAAAAAAAAAAAAAAAAATCATTTAATTTTTGAATGTTTATTGAATTTGGGAAATGCAAGCAAATTCAACCTTGAATATATCGATATGTAGTCCACGCTTATTATCCCAACTGAGTAGTCGATGGTAATTGTAAATTTGAGCACATCTTGAACTAAAATTATCGGTCAAATATGTGCATGAATGCTCGGGATGGCTGCAAAATATTTCTTTATTAGATTAAATAATTTAATTTTTTTTTATGTAAAGAAAATGGTTCTTACGTGCACTTTTCCAAACGAAGAGTCTGGGTGTGTTGTCCTGTATTTACAATGTACTTCCATTCACCCGATGCCGATCGGGCTTTCTGCGGTCTGGCATATCGAACAATTGACGGACACATTCCACTTGATGGTACATTATTTTCTTCATCTTCACGTCGCTTTTTATTTTCCAGCTCTTGCATACGATTTCGCCAATCAGTTGGGTTATCCGCCAGCAGAGCGGTCATTGCATATCGATGTCTTCTTATACTTCCCATTATTTGATGTCTGAAATGCCAAAATGCATATGTATAAAAATAATTAATTATTATTGGATTTGAATGTCCAATTTAGAAGATGTATTGTATGCTTACATTGGATAGTCAACGACATACAAATAAATGTTATCAAAACGTTCGCTAATTGGACGTGGACGTACGCGATATGGTCGTATAAGCATTTCAGGTTCCGGAAGACTTTCTATATTAGTATCATTGTCGTTGCTAATCGGTGTTGTTCCGTTTAAATCTTTGAATGCCAAATGCTCTACTTCTTCCAATGACATGATTGTCGAAATGTTTGAATTCGGCAAACTCACATGAATTCTCGTTTCCGATTCAATGGCATGTTGATCGTTTGACTCTGGTGTTCCTCGAAAATTGGTCATATTCAATTTCCGTTCGTGATACGATGGTTGATCGTCTTCATATTTTGTGGATCGTTTCCATCGATGTAGTTCAGACGATGACCGATATTCATTTTCCGTTTTTTCATCGTTGAATTCATTTTCAATCGATTGTTCAAGCATATTCTTTTTCACAACATTCGCTATATTATAAACAATTGGCAAAATGGAATTTCTCTGCTCTCCAAACATCTCCTCAACCTAAATCAATGAAATCGAATTAAAATATTTAACCAATCAATGACATTGTGCGAATCAATATGAATAAAAAACTATAAATATATATATTCATATGAATTGGCTTTAATAAGCCAATCAGCATGTCTCTCTTTCTCTTGCTCCATGCTCTTTGTTCATCTATTTTCGTATGGCGATATACGAGTAAAAGTGGTTATAAACGCTACGCTCTTGGTTTTGCATAGTGCCACTTCATGCACATTAGTAACATACACACAGAAAACGTGTTTATTGTTCATTTCTTTTTGCGCGAACCGATCGACTGAATCGCCGTTTTCACGAATCTTTGAATTCTAGAAATGTGATCAATGATTCAATGCTACGCACGGCCATACGATATATGTATATGGTTTGTAATACGTCTGCAATGAACCAGTATAAGATGAATAGAAAGAGAAACACACTTTTACTTGCTACTTTCGATTGAGATGAAATGCTAGCAATCAAACCATGTTAAATGAATAATTTGTTTTTTTAATTCGAAAACGACAAATCAAATCAATTCAGAAAGTAATCAATTGAAATATGAAATGTAGAAGAAGAAAATTATTTGTTTTTTTTTTATCATACTTGCTTCAAATCCAATGATTTGCCAGACTTTGGATTTGTCTGTGTGGCAATCAGTGCAGCTAATGTTAATCGTTGTTCTTTTGATAATGATCTTAAAATCGGCAACATTTCCGATAATGTTCGTTGACTGCGTACATCATGTGTTGATCGAACAAGAGCATCACGAATGTGTTTTTCTTTTTCGTTGAAAAATTCCGGCTCATCTTCGGCCATATCTTTAAGCATCATTCTTTCAAAGCCACGAATATCTGGTTCGCTATGATAATGATGCATCATCGATGGTAGATCATCATCGTCAACATCAAAATCAGTTGATGAATCATCGTGGTACACACTCAATACATTATTTATCATTTGAATTAAAAGACACAAAACGAACACACATTTTATGAATTGCATTTTATTCTTGTTTTTTTTTTCTTCTTTGATTTCCGTTTTTGTTTTTGCTTAAGCACAAAGTTTCTCCTTCTATTTCATGCACAATATCACACAAATTTTATTTGACCAACTTGTAAGAGAGTTCAATTGCACTCACTGATCAACACCAATGTGTGTGATATCTGGTTTTTACCAAAGATGGCTCACGAACTTTGGTCGTTTCCTGTACGGCGAACTCAATTTGGACGCTGAGCGCTGAAATTTATCTCTGTTTGTCGATAGTTATATTCTTTGCAATTTAAAACCGAACAAGCATTGTAGTTGTTTTCATTGCAAGCGACCTTAATTAGCAAAACGCTGTATTATAACCTGTATATATATATATATCTATATATCTATCTATATATCTTTATATTTATCTTTTATTCTTCAGATATGAGAAAAACAACGAAGTATATTCGATGCGCACTGGTGAAACAAGCAAAACGAATAAAAAAATTTGTTTGCTCTTACTACACTGGCATATGCACGGTTTCACTTAAACAACATCTTTCTCCGCTGAAACGTTTGGTAAAACTAACATCTCTCGCTCGAAGACTTAAGAATATTCGTGGCTCTTTTTCTCTTCTTTCTCTTGTGCTTGTATGAGATTGTATTTTAAATAACGGCATAGCAAATAAGCCATTTTTACGCATTGGCTTTCATTAATATATACATCTGTTCACATGAGATCGTTTCGACAAAACGCGATACAGTTGAACACACTGAAAAGAATACTTCGGTTAACTTTCGTTTGATGAAACATTTCAATAAAATGGCTAGCGCTTTTCAGAGATTATATGCTGCAAGTATTTTTATGTGTGTTTGAATCAAGTATGTGTAATTTTCGATGTGATTGCATTTGTACGTCATTTTTACACAAAAATCATTTTGAATTGAATGAATATATTTATGGATTACAAAGCATCTATACTCTGCTTGAACAAAAAAAAAGTCTGATTCAAAAAAATGTAACCTAAAATTTGTATTCAATTTTTGACATTTTTTTTTAAATATAACAACAGCAAAAAGCACCGTTCGAGTGAATCGAAAGAAAGAAAAATGCAAAATAATACTTTCTTTGTAAGTGGATCAATCTGAATTTTTATATATATACCAAATGAATTCGATATACCTGCGCACAAGAAACAAAAAAAAAAATGCCCAAAAACCGACGATCATAAAAATAGGTTTTTATAATTTTATACAAATAATGTGAGACATTTCGATGGTATTAATCCTTAAGAAGAAGATATACAAGTTCATAGAAGAGACACAAGGTCAAAAAACAGTCTTTGAAACATTTATAGTAAGTATTTCACAATGAATTATTGACATTTGAACAACATCCATAGTCTCAAATCTCAATGCGGTGAATAAATTTCTTTGGCTTTCTACAGCATCGACTATAACAAACATTATACGTAGATTGCTCGTGGCAACTTTTCCCATTTTGAAAGCTCTAATACTGTCATCAATTCAAGAAGTAGTTCACGTGCTGCAGTAAAGTAATAACCATTAACAAACCGAGTTCTGTAACCTTGACATTTTGTTGCTTTTTTAGTTAAGCCGACATTGTTTGATTTTCAATAAATTTCATGAGGGCCAATCTGTAAATGAGCCTATTGAAAATAACAACAACGGCTGCAACAACACCAGCAACACCTCCAGCAAACGAATGCAAATTTTTACACATTAGACCAACACAAACAATTAGAAAATGGTAAAAGTATCTCTCAATGTAACGATTACGATTAAGTTCTACACATGCACAGACAAAAAAAGAAATGAAAATTCGAAAATCATTGATTACGTTTGATTTGCTATGAAAATCAACTACTTATTGGTGGATCATGCGTAATTCGAATATTTCGAATATGTAGCTACGGAAGACGAAAAAAAATACCGTGCCAAAGTGATCTAAGTATTCGATTCCATCACGAAGCCATTTAAAAGAGGAAATGCATTTAGCGACAAGGTCAAGGAATATATCGGCATACATAATAAACGACATACATTCAAAAAATGACGCGAACAATGTTTTGCAAAGATGTTAAATGTGATAGCTGAATGTAAGCGTCGTATGAAATAAATCCCATATGATTGTTAACAATACAACATGTATGAGCACATATACATAAACGGCAGGTAAACGACATGTCGAGACTATGATTATAATTGAGTTACTCACTATTTTGCATCATTTTACTGAACTTATGTTGAAATTTCATTCAACTGCTGTTAAACTGGTTTGGCTGTTTCCATAGTGCATTGAACAATTGGTAGAGATGACCAAGACATATGCAACGATGCACAACACAAATTATCGATGAGTTCAATGAATTAATTAATTTTTCTTTTGTCCATCTGCATTTCAATAAATCTTAATTTGAATCTATGGCATATCGCACAAATTCAAAATGACTATAAAAGAATGTGTTGAAAGCGAAGAAACAAAACAAAAAACAGAGGCGCAAAAAATGGCACGCTTTAATTACTATATGCCTAACAATGCGACAACACACCAATTTAAAAGCGATTACACAATCGAGACAAGAGTGGATAGAGATATTGTGGATAGAGGTCTATGCGGTGCATAATTTTTCTAAATGCTGAAACCCACCTGTTTCTGTTTTCATTGCCAACGAGCACCAACAAAATAAATACATTTTTATCTCGCGTCAGATTTAAATAAACTGCGCGCGACTGATTCATACCGATGCTCTACCGAAATAAAATAATATTTAAACAAAAGAAGCGAGAAAAAAAAAGATAAAGTAAATATAACACTGGCGATATATGACCTAGGTTAGTGTTGAAGTAAGTATATTTGGTTTGACGTGACCAATCGTGCTGAGAGAAGGGCGTCATATCATAAACCATTTTCAGTTCAGAAAGATAAGACATTCAGTTGATTGCCGAATGTTGAACTGTGGTGTACACACCAAAAAAATAATAATACCTAATGCACTAATTCAACGAAACTCTCGACGAAAGTGATTAAGAAGCAAATTATTAAAGACAACTAATCGGTTTTTGGTCAAACATTTTTCGGTTTTGAGATTATTTTGCTCATTTTAACGTTAACATTCGATAGAAGTAGTTATGGTATGGAAACGATAAGTTGAATATATAATATTTTATTGAAAAGGATCGATTTTGAATTGTGTAAAATTCAGTTAATTTGTTAAAGTGCGTTCCAAAAACTGTGATTAAAATGAAAACAATTTTAAATGTTAAATTATCGATATTTTTTGGACTGATCAGTTCAATTCTGGCTGCAACAACAAATTCATCTGTAACGACCAATTTTTCCGGTTTATTGAGTGATGTTTTGCAAACCCATCTTCAACACGATCTAAAAATCACAAAATTATGTAACCAACAATTAAGGTCCATTCAAAATGGTCTTGATATTAAAGAAATTTGGGCTATTAAATGTAAGTACAACAATGATTCGACATTCATTCAAATCATCATTTGGAAAATTAAATAGAATGTAAATTTGTATAACACGTGACACATGTATTTAATGCGATTGAAATTCCAAATTGCAAACCTATAAACTGGAAAAATACAACAGACTTCTCAATTAACAAATTGTTCAAGTTTAAGGTGCATCTGATTTAACAGTAAATTATTTTGTGTACCGTTTATAGTGCAAATTGAAAAAAAAATTAACTGACATTTGTGGTTTTTACCATAAAACAGCAAATCGATTGGACGTCATTAATTTTGATTTAAGTACTGGGCTTCTTATGCATTTTTTTTGCACAAATGAGAAATATTCCAGAGACCGCAATAATACATGTTGCACACATTGAAAATGGTTTCTCATTTAAATGTTTCATTAGATGTTTCATTGAATTTAAATCACTTCAGCTCCAAAATGTTACTAAGAATATTTAAATGAAAATATGGATGGTTGGTTTATAAAAAGCAAGTCACATAACTAAATATACCAAATGAACATTTCTAGAAAATATTTGAAAATGCTCATTCTAACATGATTATCTCGTCGAGATGTAATTTGTTGGTTTTCATGTTTTTCTTTTGTTGTTGTTTTTTTTGATGCAAAAATGACCATTAATATGCATAACTAATGCATAATTAATCATGAAAATCGCCCAATCGAGAGAATGAAAGTATATCTTTAAAAAAAGAAGAAAAAGCGAATTATTGAATCGCCGCAACGCATTGTCAATTTAAAATGATTATTCATGTGATATTGATATGTGACACATTTATTGTTGATGGTGTACCTTAGAAGTCTGTGCCATCGACCAAGGTCTTGCGTATCTGTTTTATTTGTCGTTGTTGCTATTGTCATACGAAATTGACCTTTACATCTTCATAAAACCAGCAAATAAATCGCACGATAGATACATTTTGGTGTTTATTTTTTTTTTTTAGATAAAAATGCACATTATGTGTGCGTGTTTTAATTAAAGACCTTAACCGGCTTATTCATTCGATGTAAATCGAATGTATCGGATGATTTAAGCAGTGATTTTACTAAAATATGCAAAAATTGCGCAAGAGTCACATTTTCAATAACAACGGCTGATTCAATGTAATCCCGCCATGTGTATTATGCACGAATACTACGAATGTATTAATGCTTTACTGTTTTACTTAATAATATATCAGAACAATGAACTTAACCGCAAAACCAGAGATAAAAACCTTACCATTGAATGAGTGACGGAATCGAATAAAATATCATCCACATTTTCATGCCCATATTCATTCAATTCAAGTACGCATATTTCTTTTTATTAACTTGCATGCCATTTAAAAATACAAATTATTTCCTGTATGATGAACAAAAGTGTTGGACGCATCTGGTCACGTTGCTCCTGGATTTGTGTGGGGTAATAACTTTTGGCTCGGCTCGAAAAAGGCTTGTCAATTTATTAATAAACGTGCACCGGTCGTGCTGTCACACGAATTACATAAGAATCACTTCAAAAATCTAACGTACATCGAATCACCATTTCCCGTTGAATACAAACTTATATGGGCCAGACATAGTTCACGCTGGCAAGTTGATATCAGCACATTTGAAAAGGTAATTGGATCATTCAACATTTCATTAATCATAATGTGTAATTCAAAATAATGTGAACTTTTTTCTGATCAGACTATGCTACATGTTGGTATCTGTTTGCCACAATCTTGTTCAGATGAAGATGTTAATCGTCTCGTGGACACCATGTTGAATAGCAGAATCTTTGGTGAAAAGTACTATCTGGATGAAAACTTTTCGATTGTTGAGAGCAAAACGATCAAATTACGTGACAACTTTTTTGGTACAATGATGGTGAACCTTTTTTTGTATGTATATGATTTTGTGGGAAATACGTCAAGCGACGATTGAAATGAATCTTATGAAAATGTTCTCTTTGTTTTAGGTATATTTTGTTGCTTAATCTAGTTCTTGTGACAATTGGTTCGATTTATATGAATTTATCATTGGAGAAAGTTATTTTTAATAAGCCGGTAGCTGACATAGACATCAAAAAAGCCAATAATAATCAAATCAAATGTACCAACATTAATGCGGTACTGAATGTTGATAGTGCGTTATTTAATCAACAAACAAATAAAACAAAGCGAACCAATTCGATTATTGAACGATTTTTGTCCTGTTTTTGCATCGTTAAAAATTCCGAAATTATTACAACCGAATCACTTGGCACGGACTCGATTGAAGTCATTCATGGAATGAGGTAAGTTAATACTTCAATAAGTTTTGATACACACATTGAATCTTATAATTATTGTGCGAATAGTTGCTGCTAGAATACGTAAAAGAATTATTCGAGCAATTAACTCACTCTGAATTCTACGTCATTGACCACTTTAAATAAAATGATATAGCAGTTGTATGTCAATTTTTATATTCGAAATTATTAGTTTAAAAAAAAATGTTGATTAATTATGACGTAGGTAGGTTGTCGTCATTTAAGTGATGTCATGCCTTAAAATTCGTTCCGAACAGCCAAACATTAAGATTGAATGGATCAAATAATTATGTGTTTTTCTCCAGCCAACCATTTCATCGGTTACGAAAAGTGTGCTTAAAAACTGAAGAAAACTCCAAACTACTTATAAATGCTTATGTAAATTATTTGGATTTGTATATTTGCAGAGCTATTGGAATGATTTGGATCATTGCTGGCCACTTGTTTTTCTATGGTCCAAGTGCAGTAGAAAATCTACAAATGGTACTTACATATGCAGAGGAATGGTACGTGCAGCCACTTTTTTCCGTTGCCATTGCTGTAGACACGTACTTTGTTATCAGCGGCTTAGTTTTGGCATACTTATTCTTCCAGACAGAGAAAAAGAAGAAGAAGGAAAGTGCTATCATCAAGTTCGTTAGCTCTGTGGTGAATCGTTACCTTCGGTAAATAAATGACACACTTGAGACTGTTTGCAAACAATAATTAATATATTTTAATAACACTATTTTTCTTCTCTTCTTCAATAAGGCTAACGCCACCGTACTTGGTTGTGATCGCATTAACCGGTTTCTTATCGATTTATTTGCGTGATACATCACAATATTGGTTGATCGAACATAATGACATCAATTGCCCAAAATATTGGTGGCGTAATCTTTTCTACATCCAAAACATGTATCCACTAGATAACATGTGCATGACATGGAGTTGGTTTTTGGCAGCTGACTTTCAATGCTTTTGTCTAACTTCATTTCTCTTGGTCATTTATACAAAGTAAGCGATTTTGCCAATCACACTTCGCTAATTAGAGTAATTATCAAGCGTTCCTTTATTTGCAGAAAGCCAAAGGTTGCAGTCTCAATTTTCGTCCTTTTATTTGTTTCGGCCAGCTTATACACGGGCTATTTGGGCTATGTTTTGAAATACTCATTGACGTAAGTATTGAATCGAATTTTTCGTAGTTGATAACATACATTTTGGCGAAATATTTTATTGATGTTTGGTATCATAGATTATAAAACATAAACAAACACATGTGCATATAATATCCATGAACTTTAAAGAAAAAAAAGCTAAACACATTTTGAACTTGAGTGAAAATGTGCAAGTTTTCAATAATGTATAGACTTGATTTGTAGTTTGACTCAAATTACTTGAATATATGGTTGGACTGTTTTTGTCACAGGTTGGACGTTCAATATAATGTGGTTGATTATTTGTACACACCGACATACACGCGAATTGGTGCCTATTTCATTGGGGTTTATGCTGGATGGTTTTTGAGCGCAAAAGATCGGAAATTAAACATTAAAAAGGTGAATTATGTTCATTGCACTTTAGCTCTCGCTTTTTGAAATAAACAAGCAAAACGCAATTCAACATGCGCTAGTGATGCAATGTCGTATTGTCTGTTGCTGTGATATAATCACAGTGTGAATGTTTTTTCAAAGAAGATGAAGAAAGCATATTGGAAGTTTCCTTCGAATTGTAATGATTTTGTGTTTTTGACAACGCACAATGCGCTGACAATAATTCGCGATACATGACGATACATGCGAGAGAAAACGCTCATTCATTAATGTTAATTTCATTTTTTTTTTAGAAATTCGTTGTGTTGGGATGGGTCGTTGGACCGTTGCTGTTGATTTTGATGATTTTTGGGCCGACAAAAAAAGAGCTCAGTCCGTTGGGAGCCGTTTTGTACACTGGCCTAGGAAAAACCGCGTGGTCCCTTGGCATTGCATGGTTCATTATCGCATGTGCAACTGGACGGGGAGGCATTATAAATCGCATTCTTAGTGCGAAATGTTTACTTCCATACAGTCGAATGACATACACCGCATATTTGATAAATCCATTGTGCATCATGTTCGTAGTAATGTCTTCCGAAGCACCAATACATTTGGACTTTTTGTCTCTTGTAAGTAAACCACGTGAATCATCAACATTGATTTATGAATGTACCATATCGAAAGGTCATCAATGAAATAAATATAATTTCTTTGTGTTTTTTTTTTCTCTCGTAACAATCCATGTAGCTTGTGAATAGTTTGGGCTTTCAAGCTATCGTCTTTACGTTATCGTACATTTTTATGCTGCTGTTTGAGAACCCGTTTATTCGCTTGGGCAAACTCCTTCAAGGGAAGTGATTAAGAGAAATTATCTGTTGATTGTTATTCCATATAGTTTATAAAAGATTTTGAATTAATAATTGTAAGCAATCTAGACTATAAGTTTTATTGGTGTCATTTTATTTACACCTTTAGTTATCTATGAGGTATTCATTGTATACGTTGTCCCATTTGTAAATAAATTATTTCAATTTAATTTCAAAATCGTTTTATTTTTATTTACGTGTATCTATTGCATAGAGATTACGCATCACACAGCCATTGTTCTCAATCTAAACATGGTCTTCAATCCTGAATTTTCAGTTCAAATTTTAAAAGTTGTTCTAAATTGCTTTTTGGAATCTTATCGACCGCTAGTAGTCCACAGTTGGTGTGAAATCAAAATTACTTGATTTGTTTTAAAAAAAAATTTCACACTTTTTTCAAACTTAATTTCCAACCTCCAAGGGGTCTATGAAGACGGTGTTAGGTTTTGATTAAAAAAAGGTCAGTAATTTTGCCAGATTTATCAGAAAAGTCAGTCCAGCTAGTCATGGCACCAGAAAACAGAGAATAATCGCATGGAGATGCATTAATTCTATTTCTCTCAGTAATCAAAAAGCAAAAATAAGTCCAACAAATGGACATCAATTGTTCGAAATATTGGGGGCGCAACTTTTTCTATTTTTCAAATTCTTGTACCTATGCTTTGACTTGTAAGAATCTAGATACATATTTCATTGTTGAGTAAAAAGGCTTACTTAAATTTTCCGTAGTTGATAACATATATTTAGGCGAAATAATTTATTGCAATGTGATATCATGATTATGTCATACAAACACATATGCATATATTATCCATGAACTTTGAAGAAAAAAAGCTATAGACAATTCGGACTTGAGTGAAATGTGAAATTTTACAATAAATTATCTTGATTTGTTGTTTAACTTAATTTCCAGAACATATGGGTGTTTTGGCATAAGGTAGACGTTCCATACAAATTGGTCGATTATTTAGGCACATCAATATACAGAAACGAATTGGTACTCATTTCATTGGGGTTTTTGAGCACAAAAGATCGGAAATTAAAAATGAAAAAGGTGAATTATGTTCATTGCACTCTTGCTCTCGCTTTCAGAAACAATAAAAAAAACGGAATTCAACAGGCGCTAGTGACGCAATGCCGTATTGTCTGTTGCTGTGATATAATCACAGTGTGAATGTTTTTCCAAAGAAGACAAAGAAAGCATAGTTTCCTTCGGATTGTAATGATTTTATATTTTTAATACGTGCCAGCATTCGAGAGCATTCAAAATATGTGGCCACATGAAAATGCTTGTTCATTGATGCTAATCGTTTATTTTTATTTTTCAGAAATTTGTTGTGTTGGGATGAGTCGTTGGACCGTTGCTGTTGATTTCAATGTTTAATGGTTGTATACCTGGGGAAAACCGCGTTATCCCTTGTTTTAACCTTGCGTTTTCATTTGTCCTATGTTCTAATAAAGAAAGAAAATCCACAAGAAAGGGAACACACAAAAACGATATTTTGCATGGAATTCTACGAATTTCAATTTTATACGAAATTTCAACTAGATTCAAATTTTATATGACATTTCGGATAGTTTTTCAATGAATTTTCTGTGTGCATACAATACATGAACGGACTTAGACTTGTCAATCCTGAAAATCTCGAACATGAAAAAAGTTGATTAAAATTCGCGAAATTTTGTTTCGCTTACCCATCTCAATGACGCGCTAACAGATAGTGCTCCGATGAACATAACAAAAATAAACACATTTTTCCAAATAAAAAAAAAACAACTCGACACATCCGAAGTGTCAGCTCGATTGAAATGTTGGTTGGAATATTTTTTTTCAAATTCAAAATTGATCGTTTTCCAGTTTTGATGTCATAGTTTGTACTTTGTAACATACATAATACGAGCCACACAAAATTTGAGAAGAAAATAAAAAGCCGATTTCAAAATTTATTTGTGTATTTTCTCTTTGTGTGTGTTTATTTAGTTTTATTTTAATTTTAAAGAAAAAGTCATTCCCAAAAGTACAAACGGATTGCAGGTATGCTGTCGTATGGATTGATCGGTGTTACGTTTGTGTGGAGCATAGTATGAATGGCTTCAAGACGGCATATGTATGTGTGCTTGAATCCGTGAACGCGTCATGTTAAATGGTGTTTGTGTGGGTCTGTGTCTCTCTGTTGTTTTTTTTTCATGGATCGACCATGCACATAGTCGAATTAGCGATATCAAGACTCTATAAGCCGATCCGTTATGAATGATCAGTTCACATTTAGTTTTGAAACTGTTGAGATGCATGGAACGACACCACAAACAACCCCAACATAACACAAGTAATTGTTACCACTTATATTCTATAGTCAAGCAAGTGTTTTAAAGCAGTAAATTAAAATTGTCCAATGTTAGCAAATCGATTATTGGAATGGTTTTTTTTTTTGAAGAGTGCTAGTGATCTAAAATCATATCATCCAAATTTCACTTTCATTTAGAGTGTGATTTTTTTGTAGTTTTTGACAAAATAAAATTGGGTTAAATAAAATCATATTGTATAATAAAATGTAAATATTTGGACTGATGAGATGAAAAAAAAAACATTTGTGAACATGATTGAAATCGAAATCAACGTCTAATTTATTTGAGCGATGGCTTATATTGTAACGTTATGATTGGTGCACTTTAAATTTTCTTACTTCTTCGCCTTTACTGTTTATTCTTTTGATCAAATGGTCTCAATTGGCTGATGCACATCAATGACAGCAATCTTTGGTGATAAATGCATACGATTGTTGTACATTGAAAAACACGTACACACACAATCGAAATTAAACTCATAATTCGACAAATGAAATGCGTGAACATGACCGTGCGCTTGCGCACAAAGAAAGAGTTGTAAAGCAAATATTGTGAGAAGAAATAAATAAAAATGAAAGTGTCTGCTAAAGATATTATTTCACTCTTCTTATAAATTTCTTCCATCTGCGTAATGTAACGGTTGCCAGAGTTATGCAGATGCGATCATTGCTTCACATACGTGTAGATCGCAAAGAGCTTACAAAAGTCACATAAATACAACAAAAGCAAAAATTACATAAGTTAAATTCGGCAGTCTTTTTTTATTGATCAACGGTTAGCCGTGTTATGCTTCTTTTTTTTCAATAATTGTTTTTTCTTTCCTGTTTTAAATTAAAAAAAAAAATTTAAGTTCGCATGTATTTGTGTATGAGGTTATTTTCATTTTACAGTTACATAAGTCTCAAGGGACGGGTTTGTTTGATAAATTTTATTTAAAAAAACGAAACGATTGAAATGATTTCGAACCACAAAACATTGAGTGACGCGTAAAACAAACATATGCGACATATAACTCGCCAATCCCTAATTATTTGGCTAAAGTCATATATTACGCTTTTAATTGCAATGTCTAACAATTAATCTCTGGTTAAATGGCGACAATTATTGGCATCCGATGATTGGCGAACATGATCATGTTCTCCCGAAGAGACTAAAACAAATGAAACATGCTCTCTATCCTTATCAATACGTCAGTCCTAATCGGGGACTCTCAATCTCATTTAAAATTCAGATATCATGAATTTAGCGGCAAAAATATTTTCTAGCTCCCTCGAATGTGTCGAGCAACAATGTCAAGCGTCTTTGCACGCGTTGAAGGAATTTTTAAAAAAATCGCTTTGTTTACTCATCGCATACAATACCTTTTACCTTCGCCACATAGTAATTATTGTTGATATATTATTTACTCCTCCTTTATCATCTTTGAATGGAGCACGTTTATTAGAATCAACTGTTGCACGTGGAAATTGTTTTTTTTTCTTGTCAAACCATGATTTGCGATCTTTTTTGGTTGAAATTCAAAATTAATTAATTATACATGACTTGCTACAATCGGTTATTTCGAATGAAAGAAAAATTAAATGTTTTAGCTTTCATTCAATTGAAATTCAAGCGTCTTATTTGGAAAAGTAGCAAGTGAAAACATAAAATTGAGCAAATTCGAATAGATGATGATCAAAGATGGTGTCACTGGTCAATATAGCACAAAAACTATGAAGTAATCACTTCTTTAGAATCTTTATTGATGTCTTGACGCATGACAGTCTTTTTCAAAATGAATAGAGAGATGAAGAAAAAAAAAAGATGTGAAAGTAAACATTAAGTACTCATCATGAATAATAATGAAACAAATAAAACCAGCTTGCGAACAGAGTTCGCAAATATATTGGCTGATTGAGTTTTGAAGAGATCAAGAATATCGATTCAAGAAGGGAATTCCAATTTGAAATGTTTATTGTTTCAGTTCACAAAAGCGTGAACGGGCTTTTGAGACATTTTCGTTTATGGATCGATGATACAGTTCGTCGGAAATGAATTCCCATATTGACCATGGAAGAGGTGCATCGACCTCACAAAATTTGCAACAACAAAAAAATTAAGTTGCATCTTCATAAATCGATTACCTCTCGAATCAATATCAAATGGAGATTCTAGAATATACTTGAATCAATATCGATTTGAATAATATTTTGATCACAAATGTGGACAAGGGCATCAGACTTGATAATGAAGCTGAACGGAACCGATACTATTCGATTTATATTTTCCGTTAAATTTCCATAGTTCAATGCCGTCCAGTTTACTATTATACAAATTGACTAAAATGCCAAAAAAAACAATACATCACAAAGTCATCGCGGGGATTCCTTTTTTTCTGTCATTCGACCAAAATCATTTCTACGACTTTAACATATTTGTATGAATGAAATAAAATGCAATTAGCTTATTTAGCAGAGCATTAAAATTATTTACGATCAACGTAAACATTTTAAAAATAATGCGTGCGAAAATAATTTAAAGCCTTTCGAAATAAACAATTAATACTTCGCGTATGGTCAACCACAGAAATGCCGTTGAGAAAATTTACGTTTTAAAAAAAAAAAAAAAAACAACACCAACTTCAAAATTGTCGCTAATATTTTGTTGATTTAAGTTTTAAACATTGACATTCAGAATGCTTCTGATCAATTAGATGCCATTAAAACTGTTAAGGGCATCCAATGTGGTTCATTTGCTTGAGTGTTTCAAACGAAAGAGAGAAAAAAATAAAAAAAAAACATTGAAGAGGCCATTTTGCATTGAATTTATAAATAAACATGCACTTTGCACAAAATTTTGTAACTATCGTGTTAATTCATAAGAGCTATAAAAATTGATACGCAAATAATGTTTATTGTTGTTTTAACAGCATTTATGATTACTTACGCGATTGAAAAATGACATGCACGTAAATTGAAGAAAAGAAGAAGACCAACAATGATGGCAAAATAGAATAAACAACAATATGTCACCGGTTAAAAATGTGAACGATCAAAACAATAAAGTTTTCCGCCAACATGGCTTGGCTTATGTCCTTGCGCCGAAGCGCTTACAATATATTTTAATCAATGCCAAAGAAATTGACTGTTTTTGGTTGTTAAGAATGAGCTCAGATGTGCTTTTCTTCTATTCTCATAACCGGACTGCGTACTAATACAATTCCAAAACGTAACCATTCGATTACATAAAAACCATCTTAATCTCCATAATATTACATACATCATTTACATTGAGCAAAATAAAAAGAGATCATTATCGCGATAGACCACAAAACAATATCCGAATAGCGACAACAACAAACTAATGTAAAATCTAATTTATCGTTCGGAACTAAAGTAAATATTTGTACCTGCTTCCAATGTGGTCAATTCAAAAGCACGTGTCTTTTTTCATTGACGCTTCAAATCGAATCATTTTTTTTAAAGATCGCGTTCAAGCATTATCTTATTTCCAAAATCGTAATTTAGATCATAACACACACGCACACAAAAAAGTTATATGCAAATGCATTGCACAATGACACAGAAAAACCAAACATAATAATTTATATACGACAGAAATAGACAGATAGATTGAAAGAAAGATAGAGACGAAAACATCGAAGACAACAACACCAACAACAAAAAAGTTCAGAGTAACCAGACAAAATATGCAAAGATATTTTGGGAATTGAGGTACGATGATTGCCGATTATGAAATACTTTCACTTTCAAAGCCCATACAACTCATTGAGTCGATATGACGTATATTGATCATATGAGACGCTCTGTGTATTGTCTGTCAAAAGAAAAAAAAAAGCAACAAAAATAAAAATAAATGACCACAAAGATGATTTAAATCGCCATCTCACAATCTGTTCGTGTTGTTTCATTCACATTGCACCAGAATTGGTGGCGCATTTGTTGCTCTCTTTTACAACACATCCGAAATATATATTTCGCAAAGAATAAGATGTTATAATTCAGTTCGATTTCCTTTCATTATACATTCCGGTATTTTCTGTTGTGTTCCTCTCTACACGGAACGAAAAGTAAAATAAATGTGTTGATGTTATCGTGTGCAACAGCAGGTTTGATGATTGCACAAAATTATCGGTCTAGTCAATAACGTGTATATTATTTATGAGCTCATTGATGATTGGCATTCATTTTAGTGCGGCATTTTTGTTTTTGTTTCAGGTGAAATTACTTTCGGGCAATTTACATCAGCCACAACAATGTCTTTGCTATTTTTAAGAAGCGATTCGCGATTAGTCGCCAAATGATTAGCGCACGATTTGCATGCACATATTATTTGAATATAATTAAGCGTATTACTTAATTTGTCATTAAACGCAACATATTTTGCATGTGTGATGTATCTGCCTCGTTCGATGTTTGGAAATCGATATAACCATATAATGTTATAAGTTTACCAAGCAAAATAACATTCAGTTAGATGTAAGACTCGGCAGTCAGTTCAAGGATGCGATTTGACCATATCACCACATATACCATGTTTGGAAAAATTGACAATCATTTTCTATTTCTCTTTATCTCTCTCTTCTTCAATTGCTATTTTTTTTATAAAATCGTTTTTTATAGAGTTTCAGTTCTTAAATCGGTTTCATTTGCATTTTACGCAATTTCAAAACTCTGCATATATGTCACTTTAGATTAAAATTTGAAACCTTGATTTTTTCCCCGCTTTTGGGAATATACATGAATAATTAAAAACCCAAAAAATCGAGTAGCTTCTTTGAACTAAATATTATTTATTCATTTTTCATTCCAGTAACTGACGTCATTTTTCTTTATTTTAGTAGTTTTGGTAAAAAAAAACAATCGTATAAAATGAATTTCAAAGTGTCTATAGTTTTGTTACATTTATTTACCGTAACGATACCAATGAGCCAGTATTCGGGAAAGGCGTTTAGTGTTTCAGCGAATAATCTTGATACGAATGAAACACAATCGAAAATTCGCAAAATATCAACGATAATGACAACAGCGACCATCGTATCCGAAACATGCAACGATCGATTTTGTTATAATTCAACAAATGAAACGACAACAAATAATAAATCAAAAGAGTTTGCACCATCATACAAAGAGTATGATCGGCTGAAATCAACCTCAATTTTATATGGCATTGTTAAAATCGCATCGCAACGGCCACAAACGAATAAATGCTACAGAGAACTAAACCAAATCTACGACAGTATTCATCGAAAAGAGATATGGGCGATAAAAGGTAAGCAAATTTTCTTCTTGTGAAAAAAAAACAAACAAATAAACGAAAACAACCTTGGGAAAGTTCAAATGTAGATTGTCAAAATTGGAAAGTTCATTTGAATAAAGCGACTTTTCTCTTTGTGAAAAGTGCGATCGTTTGGAATTTATCGAAACTATTTTTATTTGTGTGAATTGATGAAGCATTGAATTTTTTCAGCATTGGATTCGTCTGGAATTCCGGCATCTGGATTTGTGCTCGGTCACAACTTTTGGATGGGATCGATGCAAGAATGTGAAGCTGTACAAAAACCGCCGCCTCTTACAATATCATCGAATCGTTTCGAACGTTTTATGCATGCCGATTTATGGACAGCAACAGCTCCATTCGATATTGATTATCGAATGGTTTATGCCGAACATCGTTCGCCCTGGCAAGTTCAAGTGGAATTCGTTTTAGAAAAAAATGTACGTATTCAATACAACAACATTCGTTCATCATTTTCATGATTTGATGTGTGTGATTTATTATTTTGTTTATACAAATTGTAGAAAGTTTTGCACATTGGCCTATGTCTGCCAAAGTCTTGTCCAAACGAAGATGTCGCCAATTTAGCACAAGAATTCTTCGATTCGGCAACTTTAGACGCTCAAATTATGCACGACTATCAACCAAATGTATTAAAAGTCAAGGATCTTAATGCGAAAACCAGCTGGATGGAAAGAAGAAGCTTCCAATTAATTGGGTACATTGAAACGAATGCATATGATATAAATGAGCACATTCTGATAATCAAATATTGTGATTTAATTTTAGATTATGTGTGATTTTCACATTAGTAATGATGGTCATTGCATACACAAAAGAATCCGCTGATAATGAAGTGACGGTGATTAAAATTGAACATCCAATTGATACAAAAGCTGATAACAATGGTATTGTGTCATCGAACTTCGCTACAGATTCTCATTTGAATCCACCAGATGTAGTGATGCACTGTCACAAATCCAATGTACCAAAGAAAACGTTCGTCGATGAGTTTATTGATTGTTTTTCTGTGAGAAAAAATTTAGAAATACTTACCAGTGTTAAAAAGCCCACAAATGCTGTACCCATCATTGATGGACTTAAGTATGCACCTTTATAGTTTCTTTTATCATTGATTTACTTTTTAATTGTGTCACACTTTTTTTTATAGATCAATTGGATGTTTTTTGATACTTCTATTTCACGTTTACTGGTTCAATCATTTCACAGTTCACAATGTGACAATGACATTTTCATATGGTGAACAACCTTTATGGCAGTGGATTAGCGCAACACCAATCATAGTGGACGTTTTCTTTACCATTAGGTGTGTGTTAACATGATAGTTTTACGCTTCATTCCAACCAACTTCAACCAATTTTAATTCGAATTTTTAGCGGTCTATTGCTATCGTATAATTTTTTACGTAACCAAGCAAAAATAGAAGAGATAAGAACCAATTCATTCGTCCAGAATTTAAAATTATTCTTCAAACAATTACTCAATCGTTACATAAGGTATCATCACGAAGTGTTTATATTGTTTTTTTTTTGTATTCATTTATTTTTCTTGTAATATTTTAAGATTGACACCAATGTATTTGGTGGTCGTTGCTTGCATGGAGTTCATGACCGCCCGTCTAGTAGAAACATCACCGTTTTGGATTCATGAGCGTCACGATATTATGTGCAGTAAATATTGGTGGCGAAATCTCTTGTACATTCAAAATCTCTTTACCCAAGATGAACTATGTGTGAATTGGTCTTGGTCATTGGCATGCGAAATGCAATTTTTCATTTTATTCACAATACTTCTCTTCGTCTATGCAAAGTAATTATGATTTCAAATAAAATCGGCTGCCGATTAAGTGATTTTTGCTCATTTTCGGATGTTCTAAAAAAACGTCCAATTCTCTGCAGTAAAATGTCATTTAGTAACATTCATACAATTTATCTATATTTCAGATATCCAAATACAGCAAAAGCAATATTCTTTTCGTTATTTGGAATATTCTTTGGTTTAATACTATCGATAGCTATATTCACAAAATTTACGCCCGCCTATGACGTAATGCATTCATTGGGCACAGATATGTACATTGCACCATGGACACGAATCCTTCCATATCTAATTGGAGTTGGAACTGGATATGCGATGTTCACATTGAATGGTGTAATGCCTTTGGGAGAGGTATGTATCTAGACGATGGTATGCAACACTTTTTGAATTGAAAATCGATTTATTTAAATGTATCATTTCTTTTTATTCAAGAGAACCATCAAAACTGTGTGGACTGTGATGATAACTATCGCCATTTGCTCGCACATTTCGACATTAAATCGTCAAATATCACATTTTCTAGCTGCACCACTGATCACATTTATCCGAGTATTTTATCCGATATCAATATCGTGGATGATACTTGCCAGGTATAATAAGCTTTTCTCTGAGACACAAACCATTCAATATTTTTAACCGATTCCCAAAGCTTTCACATAAAAAAATATATATTCATAAATTTTTTTTCTATTCTCTTTTCAGCCAAACCGGTTATGGTGGAGTTTTTGCAAAAATTTTAAATTTTCCCATTTTTGTTCACATCAATAAAATGTCATATGCAATTTACTTACTGAATCCAGCTGTTATAAGCATGTTATACGGCTGGCAGGATCACAGTACACACATTCATCCAGTTTCAATGGTTGGTAGAAAAAAAAATATATCAAATTTAAATTGCATTATTCATTTTATGTTGTTTTAAAATTATTTCAGATTGTAATGACTACTGGAATCAAAGTTATTGTTTATATAACGGCGATCGTGTTTTCGATGATGTTCGAAATTCCATATACAAATTTATCAGCAAAATTGTTAAAGCAATCGTTCAATCGAAAGCAATTGATGTCACCGCCATCATCAACGGAGCTGACCGATACGAAAAAAATGCTTTGATTTATATATACATCAAAATATTGAATTGAATTAAGTCGCAAACTCAATTTTCAGTGATGTTCAAAACTTTTGACTGTAACCCAAATGGAGATGGAACAATGTACTGTGGCATAATCCTTTGTTGAGAGTTAGAGAGATTTTGGATATAATCGTCTGAAGTGCAAAATTGGCAGAGAAATGATCTGATTTTGGGCCCAATTTCATAAATAGTCTCGGCCAAGAATCTCTTGACAATTGATTTTAAATATGGACTGTCACAATAACTAAAATTTTGTGAAATATTCACATTATTATTTGAAAATCTTTTAAATTCATTGATAAATAGACTCTCTTGGCTATGACTGTTTATGAAATAGGACCCGGGGCACAAAATAACATTTATACATACCACATTTCAATTGGATATTGAAATATTGCGACTCAATGTGCACCGTGCCCAAAAAAACTATATATATACAATTTCTTTTGGAACAAAACAATATACTTTAGTTTTATTTAAGGGAAAAACAACCATAATTTATTTTTTTAAATGTGTAAGTTATTAGGACAAATTCAAAATATATGAATGTTTAGAGAAAAAAAAATTGTATCTCAATTTTTTTTATACTTATATGTATATATATTGGAAATAATTTTGTAAATAATTGATTGTTGCAATTTGAATGTGTTTTTGTTTTAAATTCTTTTTCTGCATTAATTGCTATATTGCTTGCCGAATTATTTTGAATATTTAGAAGAAGAAAAAAAATCAAACAATGTACCAAAATGTTCCAAACATCAGAATGTATACAATGCTTGGGAGGGGCAAATAAACAAGCACTCAATGTAATGTAAATATTGTACACCGAAAATAAAATACATACAACAAACTCTGAACCGTATATACATATGTGTGCTTAAGAAAGTTTAACAAAGAGAAATTCAAGTTATATTCTCTCACATATACACTTCAGTTGTGGAACTCATACACACGCACATACACACACCGGTCACAGTAAGCTAACACACATACTCTCATTCTCGTATGAAATTTATGTTTAAAGAAAAAGAAATAAGAAAGAAACAAAAATATGTGTTTTTTCTCGCTGGCATCGACATTTTCAAGACCAATACATCGAAAATGACTTTCTGTTTAACAATTACATCAAATCAAGTTTGAATCAGTTGATAGAATGACGATACATAAATAACACGTAAAACATTTTTCATCGGCGTGCATTTTGCAATAGAACAATAACAAAACAAAATTTCTTTTTGCATACACATTTGAGTGTGTTGACATCGAATTTAAATCAACAAAATTTTAAGTTATTAAACATGAAACGACTGGAATTAGTTATATTTTAAATTGGGTCATCGATCAAGACAATTGGAGACTTAAAAGTAATAATCCATTACAATCGCAGTGCATAGACCAGTTTAAATATCAGTGAGTTTTGTAACACATTTTACTTTTGTTTATGGTTTATTGAAATCTATAGTTCATGAGAAAACAAGAGATTTAACATCAATTAAATGTGCTTATTGTTTCGCTGGTCCACGAATGGATAAAAAGAACAATCACGTCTGTGATAAAGATATACATTTAAATTTAAAACGTTATCGATCGTTTTTTGTACGGCGATCGTTATTTGTACAAATAGATAATCGTACACTTCTGAATTGGATGCCATACAAAAGTGCTGACGCTGTTTTTGTTCCTTTTCACATTTCAAATATAAACAAATATTCATTGTTGTTTGATATAATCACAATAGTTTCGGATCACCGCCATGAGAGACACAGTTTAAATTTGCTCATTCGGTTGTTTCACAAAATGATTTCGTAATTAAATTCTTATATTGTGTAGGTTTTTTTCCTCTTCGCTTGTGAACATGGTAAAAATATGACACCAATAAGAATAGAATGTAGAAACAAACAATGCGAAATAAAACGGCAAAAATCAAATGAAGAAGAAACGGAGGAGAAACGAAAAAAAACTTTGACAATGCCTTGTGGAATCCAATTTGAACGAAAGAATAATATGGTGTGTATGTGTGTAATATAAAAATTTACGCCGATGTATTCATTTGCATAGTCTCACATGAAAAGACACGGTTAGCGAATATATAAGCCACTTGACTTTCATATTTTTGTTGATTCAAATATCGTCAAATTCGATTTTTCGTACATCGCAGCACGTAGACGTACCGAAAGCATTTTACCATGTGAATGACTAATGCAATATATTGAATGTGCTGTTGTTGTTTTCGTTTAAATATATGAAATGTACATGGACTGTATGCTATGCTCACTTATTATTTTATTATTGTTATTATTACTTTTTCCATTCGCTTGTTTAAGAGATTTTTTTTTTCGTTCGTGTTTCTTTCTTTCTAAATTCATCCATATTTATTTTATATTGTACTTGTATCGCTAATAACTTCTTATAAGGTAGTACGAGCGCGATGCGCATATTTTACAACTACACACTCCCATTGGATCGAGAAGAACCATCATCATCATCATCAGCACAGTGCCGATCTCGATTAGTCTGTGCTTGAGAGCGTACTTCTTCTTTTATGAATCTACTTCATTACATTGTTCATCTAATTATGCCGAATGAGAAAAAAAACAAACGGTTTCTGATGTTTTCGTGTAAATTAAAATCCACTTGAAATTTTATTTCGTTGATGTGTGCGTGCGTGTGCATTTAATTTACATGCGGTAACTCTGTGTCGTTTTTTAAAGAACATTTCTGCTCATTCAACTTGATGTTGTTATTTATTTATGACACAGTGATTTTTTGTGGATGATGTAATTATTGCAAGAAATGGAATTTGGGATCGTACAATATGTTTTGAATATAGTATATTTATTTTCGTGGTTTTTTCTTTCTGTGAATATTTTCAAATTGAAATTACTTCATCACAATTAATACGAAAAAAAAAACAGTAAGTAGGCATCGTGTATACTGAAGCTTCGCATTTTCAGTCAGCTTTTACGGCCAATGAGCTCATGCATCAATACTTAAAATGCTAATCCATCAAAATTCGATTTTGTAATCAGGTCAGTTGCAGAAAATTTACCAGGAAAATTCCGCATGAGTGCATTTCCGATTGTGTTTCTGTCTGTCTTTCTTTATGATTTTGTGTTCGTGTGTATTTTGCATCTGTGCTATACGCGTCTGGGCATGTATGTTTTAACAATGCCATTATTTTGTGTTCTCAATTGTTTTCATGACAATCAATTGGTGCGGCGTCCAACCAAAATGGTTATGTGCAAAACCATCAAATCAACTTGTTCACATTCCATACGGAATTCTACATGAAATTTTTACAACATTATAAACAATTACAATTTATGAAAGACATTCCACCAAGCAGAAAGATTTCAATGACGCATTTAAGCGGCAAACGCTGTGCGACAATTACAAGATGAAAGTGCAGAATTCTTTTACACATGAGTTCTTTTTTGTTGCCATTGTAGAATTGAGGCCTATTTAGAAAGCTGCATGCAACGATGGGATTACGACGACCTGGGGTAACGAAAGAGTATGAAGAAATGCCCGGTGCAAATGTACCGATTTCATCGAAACACATTCACCACAGTCATCTGCACAATCATTCTATGCATTCAAATTTACATTCACAACGCAATTCTCAAGCCACGGATTTGACAGCGTTTGCAAATCAAGATTTGGAAATGTCATCCGTTAGCGTTGTTCCTGATGGTTCGTTGCTTTTATTCGTCTTCATTTAAACAAATAGATTTGATTTTTTTCACACTCCACAATTTTTTCTCTCTCTCTCAAATAGATACATATACGGTCACACAGGCGGTGAATGCGCTTGGATTTGGTTGGTTTCAAGTGAAATTATCATTGTGCGTTGGTCTGTGTTGGATGGCCGATTCTATGGAAATGACGATTTTGAGTGTTCTCGGTCCGGCATTGCAGTGTGAATGGGGAATAACTCGATATCAGCAAGCACTCACCACAACCATTGTATTCCTTGGTATGATGATGAGCTCAACATTTTGGGGACAGCTCAGTGATCGATGCGGCCGAAAACCTGTAATTTTGAATCAACAGAAATGATTTGCACACATTTTTTTTATACGAAATGAAAATTTATCGATTTACAGGCTTTAACACTATGCGGAATATTGCTATTCTTATACGGGTTTTTAAGTTCATTTGCACCAAGTTTTGCATGGTTGCTGCTATTACGTGGTCTAGTTGGATTTGCTATAGGATGTGTACCACAATCGTAAGTATATAACATAAAAAAAGTTATTTTACTGCATTGCATTTTATCGATGGATCGTTTTATTTCAACAGTGTTACATTGTACGCTGAATTCCTACCAACTAAACAACGTGCAAAGTGTGTTGTACTCTTAGATGTGAGTTGAGTTTATTTTTGTATTTTGTATAGTTTGAATGATGTTCGAAATGTTTTTTCAGTGTTTCTGGGCATTGGGCGCCTGTTTTGAGGTTGCGTTAGCGTTGGCAGTTGCACCAACTTTGGGATGGCGTTGGCTTTTGAGGCTGTCTTCAGCGCCATTATTTATATTTGCCTGCATAACACCTGTATGCAATTCAGTCTACTTTACATGCCTAAAAGCGTCCTCTCACTTATTACAATTATCTTCATAATTTCAGTGGCTTCCGGAATCTGCACGATATCATACATCGAGCGGCCAACTAGATAAGGCATTGTTGACTTTAGAACAAATCGCAAAAGATAATGGAAGGCCAATGTTGTTGGGTAGGTTAGTCGTTGATGGTCCACAAGGTCCACGAGGAAGTGTGAAGGCGCTCTTAAGTCCAACACTTCGACGCACAACCATTCTTTTATGGTTTATATGGTACGATTGATTTTTTGCCAATTCATATCGATTTGATTGATTTATTAATTTGATTTGCATATTCTTAGGATGTCATGTGCCTTCTGCTACTACGGCCTGGTGCTTATGTCAACCGAACTCTTTGATCCAAATATAAATAATCTGAATGCAGGTGAATCAACTGAATGTCGTCAATTAGCAACAACTGATTATATGGATTTATTATGGACAACATTGGCTGAATTTCCCGGCATTTTCGCAACGATTTTCATCATTGAAAAGTGTGGTCGCAAGAAAACAATGGCATTTCAATTTTTATTATACGCTGGATGTGTTACGCTGCTTACCACAACCGGAGGGTATGCGGTTTTTTTTTTTAATTTGCAAATAATTTTCATTTCAAATAAACTAATTATTAATTCGTTTCTTTTGAATTGATGGTAAATTTCAGTAGTCGGACGGCATTAACAATAATACTATTTTTGGCACGCGGTGTAATAGCTGGACTTTTCCAAGCCGCTTACGTTTATACACCAGAGGTGTATCCGACTGCATTGCGTTCGGTTGGTGTGGGCGGTTGTTCGGCATTGGCACGATTTGGCGCTATGATGACACCATATGTTGCCCAAGTTCTTCTGCAAACATCTTTATCTAGTGCGGTCACAGTTTACGTAATTTTCGCTGTATCAGCTTGTATAGCATGTCTTTTATTACCATATGAAACCAGAGGAAATGATATGGCAACTTAATAGAGGCTAATAAATGTATCGTTGGTGCTTTCGATTTAATTATGTGATTCCTGATTATTATTATTTTTGAATTGCAATCAAACAATTCAAACGAACTACATAAATATATTAAATATATAACACTTTTCTACTAATTATTGCAACGTAAAATCGTTACGGAAAATTTTCAAGCAGCAAAACGAATACAGTTTTTGCTCTTCAACTCTTGAACGAAGAACCATATGAAAGAATTTAAGCGATTCGATTGTAAATACTTTTATATGTTTACCTATATCGTATTTATTTTTTATTATGTATCAAATTTATACTGTTGATAGAGCTTAAGTATATGAGCCGCCATCCATTCAAATCATGTTGCTGTTTTTTTTTTAATTTAGTTTGTTATTAACTTTTGTTCATGTGTCTTGGTGATTTTTTTTTCAGTAATTTTTTTCACATAATTTTGGTATTTCCAAGGAACTTATCAAAACAAAATGGGAAAAAATATTTTCATGCAAGTATATTTCAAATGAAGCGCCAAACAATGACATTTCTCAATGACAGTGCTGCTGGTTTCATAACCTCAAAATATTGCTTTCTTATTATAATCTGAAATTACTTATAGATTGAAAATAGTAAGTTAAACATAATTCAAGCGTTTTTTTTTTAAAAAACAACATGATACGATTAACGCAGTTTAAAAATGTGTCAACATTTTTAAGAAAAAATAGTATAAAATACTATGGGTGAGTATTAGTGTTAAATATAATGTGCTGATTTGACACAAACTGACTATGAAGTTTGCGGTAAACAATATTTATTAAATTATTTGCAACAAAATGATGAAATCAAAAATAATAATTATCAATTGCAATGCACAATGAAAATACTGCAAACTGTACAGTATCAACACGTTTTCAAATATTCAATTGAGAAGTTTTCAACCAAAAACAACAAATTGTTGGAATTTCATTTGGTAAAAAATTGTAATTCAATATGAATTTTAAATTACTTTTAGAACTCATTTATCATCAATAAATCCGGACGATAAATACGATGTGATTGTAATTGGAGGTGGTCATGCTGGAACCGAGGCATGTTCGGCAGCCGCTCGTATGGGTGCGAAAACAAGATCTATTCCATTAGATGTTGACCATTTTTCATTAATTCCATTTTTTTCTTCTTATCATCACTAGGTGCAAAAACATTACTATTGACGCATAAATTCAGTACGATAGGTGAAATGTCGTGCAATCCATCATTTGGCGGTATTGGAAAAGGGCATTTAATGCGTGAAATTGACGCACTCGATGGAGTTTGTGCGCGTTGCTGTGATATTTCTGGTGTTCAATACAAAGTAAGTATATTCCATAATAATCATCTTATAATGTTCTCTGAAATATTCCAATCAATGTCAATGCAAATTTATCATCTGCGTAGGTGCTGAACCGTAGCAAAGGTCCAGCGGTCTGGGGACCCAGAGCTCAAATCGATAGAGATTTATACAAAAAAGCGGTGCAAAATGAACTTTTAAATACACCAAATTTGGACATCTATTGCTCATCGGTTGAAGACCTACTGTTAAGTGATCTCAATGATAGCGATGAGGATTCTTCCAAAACAGTCAAAAAATGCAATGGAATTTTATTGAAAGATGGCACCAAAATTAATGCTAAAACTGTAATCATTACGACTGGCACATTTTTAAGAGGTCAAATTAATATCGGTTTAGACATACGACCCGCTGGAAGAATTGGCGACGAGCCCGCAATCGGACTTGCTAATAGTTTGGAAGCTTTAAAATTTCGAATGGGTATAATCACATATTCCTATACATTATTTCGATTATTTCCATTTTTTCACCTCAGGTCGCCTTAAAACTGGAACACCGCCCAGAATAAAAAAAGATACCATTGATTATTCGAATTTAATTGTTCAATCGGGAGACAACCCACCAGTTCCATTTTCATTTTTAAATGAACGCGTTTGGATTGATGCCAAGGATCAGGTAACATTTCCTTGAACATAAATTAATTTAAATATTTGCCTAGAAGATCTTAATATTTTTCAGCTAAACTGTTATATGACACATACACCTCCATCAATAGGTGAACTAATCAAAAACAATCTTCATGTCAACTACCATGTCACACAGGATGCAAATGGGCCCCGGTATAATATATTGAGATTTTCATGTGAAATTAAAAATGTACACTTTTTAAATTATAATTCTCTTTGAAGGTATTGTCCATCGATTGAATCGAAGATATTGCGCTTTGGTCATAAACCACATCAAATTTGGCTTGAACCCGAAGGTTTCGACAGTGATTTGATTTATCCACAAGGTTTATCATGTACATTACCTGAAGATCTACAACATAAATTGGTTCGATCGTTGCCTGGACTTGAAAATGCAGTAATGGCACGTCCAGGCTACGGTGTCACATACGATTTCGTAAGATATTCTTTTCTCGCATTAAATAGGCGCTACGAATGATTGATCAATTGATTTATTGTTCTTACGTTTTTTTTTTTTTTTTCAAATTAATTTTAGGTGGATCCAAGAGAAATATACGCAACTTTAGAAACAAAAAAAGTAAAGGGATTATTTTTAGCTGGTCAAATCAATGGGACAACAGGTTATGAAGAAGCCGCAGGTCAAGGAATTATTGCTGGTGCCAATGCAGCTGCTACTGTACAAAATAAAGAACCATTAACACTAAGTAGAACAGAAGCATATATCGGTGTGTTGATTGATGATTTAACACAACTAGGAACAAATGAACCATATCGAATGTTTACAAGTCGTGCCGAATTTCGATTATTACTTCGGCCGGACAATGCTGATTTTCGACTTACTAAAAAAGGGTTTGAAATGGGCCTGGTGTCTAAGAAGCGTTACGAGCACATGTGCGAAACAAAAGAGCGCATTAACAAAGCAATTGGTATTTTAAAATCGATCAAAAAAAATACCTCCGAATGGCGTGAACAATTAGGTAATGAAAAAACACGAGCGCAGGCATATAGATCTGCATACGAAATGCTGACATTTGCAACTGACGATGTTGAAGTACAAAAGGTCGCAAAATTACATCCCGAGCATTTAGATTGGATAAAAGATGATCGATCAGTTTGTGATCGTATCAAGGTTTGTTATGAGTTTCATTTTGTAATGAGGAATTGAATAATTTATCATATGACGTTGTTTTAGATTGAAGCCATGTACGAGCATGCCATTGGTTTACAATCAAGAGCGATCGAAGAAGTTCGTCAAGATGAGGGCCTCATCATTCCCAGTGATATTGATTATTCGACGTAAGTGCATTTTAATTTATTAATATCGCTTTTAGATTTAAATAATGATTATTATGTCTACGACAGTAATGCGCTCAGCCTATCAGTGGAGGAACGTGAGAAATTAGCAATGATCGAACCACAAACAGTAAGCAATTTATGGCAAATTTATTCAATTAACTAATAAATGTGAATAAATTTCAAATGTGTCATTTCAGATTGCGGCCGCAAGCAGAATACAAGGAATTACACCTAGTTCTATTGTTCAACTATTACGATACGTCAAGAGACGAAATCAACGCCAAGCAATTAATTGATTGTAAACATAGTTTTTATATAATAATGGTAGTAATAAAATAAAAAATAAAAAAAAGTATTGTTAAATAATTGTTTATTTATTCTAAGAGACATATGACATAAGGCATAAATTTTCACAAAATGTCAAATCATTAACTGCAAGATAGCAATGTGTTCGAAAGGCAAAAAAAAATGTATCAATTCACCCAACCACTTTTTCTTTGTATTTTGAAGAAAAAAAAAAATACCAAGAACATTTCACAAACAAAATGTGAATCATTTTTTAAATAATTTTCTACTAAAGGGCCTCAAACTGGATGTGTGTGCGACGAAAGACGAGTCATTTTTTCACTTTCTTTCCATAACCATTCAGCGTCGTTATTATTCTTACGAGCTGAAGGGGCCACTTTTTGCTGTTTACAATCAGCAAAATATTGACCGGTAACTTTTTCTAATTCCGGATCGACTGCCAAACGAATTGTTGTTTGTGCACCGGATTTAGCAGTCTTAAAGAAAAAGTACGTGAATGGATCAATCAATTTTTTAATCAATGAATGCACCAAATGTCGACCCAAATCGGTTTTAACGACGCCCGGATGTACGGCATTACATGTGACCCCCGTTCCTTTAAGACGTCTGGCCAACTCTTGCGTAAATAAAATATTTGCCAATTTACTTTGAGAATAAGCTTTAAACTTATTGTAGGACTTTTCACTATTCAAATCGGCGCGATTTATTTCACCATATTTGTGGGCAAGACTTGAGAGCACAATAATTCGACTGGGCGTAGATGATTTCAAAATATCCAACAATAGATTAGTAAGCAAGAAATGTCCTGAAAGAGATTTTCATCAAAAAAATGAATATATAGAAATCACATCGATTCATTATACTATGAAATGGCAGAACCTTTTACAACGATGAAAATTTACCTAAATGATTTACTCCCAGCTGCATTTCAAAACCATCCTTTGTTAAGTTCTTTGGCATCGCCATCACACCGGCATTGTTGATTAAAATATCCAAACGTTTTTCCTCTTGTAAAAATCTGATGGAGAACAACGATGACATGAACATTTATATGAAGAAAAAAGAATGGTACAAAATAAAATCCAACGAAATTATCCATACTTGGCCACAAATTTTCGAATTGAATCCATTGAGGCTAAGTCCAGTTCACGATTAAAAACATTATGGTTTCCTGTCTTGGCAATAATTTCTTGGCGTGTAATTTCGCAACGCTTGTAATCCCGGCATGCCATATGAATATGAGCTCCGCGTTGCGCCAAATCCATAACCGTTTCCTTGCCAATTCCAGTGTTGCAGCCGGTTACAACTATAACTTTTCCATCAATCCGGTCGACGTTGTGAAATTGCCCGCCTTGAATCCATTTTCTAAAAACGAAAATAAAGCATTCATTTGACATGAAATGTATCAATACAAATGTATTTGATGTTAATTGACAGAAAAGAAAAGAGCTATATTTATCCACACGATCTGTGTAGGTCATGGAAAATATTTGAAATTGACATGAAAACGAGAAGTAAATTATAAATAAAAAATCAAAACAAAAACAGTCAATTTTAGTAGAACTAAGACGCAGTGATTTAAAGATAAAACAAGGCTAAATTAAAGATGATTGGCACTTTCACATAACTAATTTTGTCTAATCATTTTGTTTTTTTTTTTTTCACTGGAAAATTACTTCCAAATCAATTGAATATTGAATTTTCAAAAAGTCCGCATCATTTTCAAAGCTAAAAACTTGTTTTAACTCTAAAAACATCCATAAAATCTGTTAATTGCGATAAATGAAAGCCACACATTTGGTTGATGAGATGAATATTCTTGAAATTTTTTTATTTGTATTGCGATCATAAAATATGAGCTCATATATATACAAACGATCGCATGTTCTGTACATCAATTGTTTTCCGTTTGCAAGAATGACGAAAAAATATTGGATATTAATTAGTTGGCTATATATCGCATTGATCGTAATATATATTTATCGTCGAATTTTATATTTGTACGAAAATTTCAAAAATAAATATCGACAATATCCAAGAGAATGTGAGATATAGCTCGCGCGAAAGTGACTTTAATGATGGCATTTATACGCTTGCCAGCCATCCCAAGTCACTTATATGGTTGAGTGGCACGAAATTCGAATGAAAGACTTTCTTTATCGACCCTTCACAATACCCAAAAGCGAATATATTCGGATGCGTATACAAGCGACAGAGAGAAAGCTACTTTGTTGTGGACAACAACGATTTTATTTGTTGAAATGTTACATGATTAAATGAGTCGTGTCTTTCATTGATTTACTACACATACATACCAATGAAATGTGATTTTTTGTAAATTCCCACAACAAAATGAAAATATGCGATATTTTATTTGGATATTTTTAGTCAGCTGAATCTTTTCAGGCAGCTAACGTCAGGTGCTAAAATGAGGTGAAAATAATAGATGTGATTATTATAGGGATTGTAACAGGAGAAGTGTTTTACAACTATCAAAATCACTTCTATTGTTTTCACTCCATTTCAGCGCCTGACGTTAGCTGCCGGCTAACAATATCTCAATTTAATATCTGGAAATTACTAAAAATTTACCAAATATTTTCATTTTACTATTAAATGGTTCACCCAATGCGCTAAATTTTAATTTCCTTAGGCTGGGTTACGAGACCGACATAGTGACGCTAATTGAACGAATGAGTTTAGAAGCTAACTTTATTTAGCGTCTAGCACGTGTTCAGCGAAATATTTACGTTTCAAATGTTTATGAATAGCTTATTTTGAATAGTGGCGCCTTTTGTACCGCACAAGTCGTACACATGTTTCCAAATATATCATCAAAAATTTAATGAAATCGAATATAACAAGTGCACATCAAAGACGTTAAGATTTCAATGTACAGAAAATAAAAAAAAAAATGTGAAAGAATCGCGTAACACCAACGTACCTTAAATAAGTAAGCAGCCCAATACCAAACAAAAAAATAAGAATGAACACCAAAACCAAGAAATGAAGCTCAAAATTATCATCTGCTGGCTTTGGTTCAAATTCAGCGTCGGTCTCATGCATTATGAGTTATTATTGTAATATTACTTCTATTGTTTGAATATGATTGTATGCTCAAGAACGATACACTTTGGTGTAATTTATAAACTGAAACGATATGCTCAATCACGATCGCTTTTGTGGATGTTCACGGACAAGTGCACAATGTATACTAGTCGGACTTAGGAATCGACTGATCCAACCGCAAATAAAAACAAAATCAAACCTACACAGCCACACACACACACACGCATAAACACACTGCCGTTGAATTGATGACGTTATTGACGATGAAATATTATTAGTGAAATGAGAATCGATGAATAGAAAATCGATAAGTTACCTGGCAAAATTTAAAACTCCACTAAGTTTTATTGTATTCATGTTAAACTGGCCAAGCGTTGATGTATCGAGTTGTTGAATGCTATATTACCTTCTCCCTACTCCAAACACTGTAAAACAAAATACGTACATGTGAGATTGTATTGTTTTAATATGCGGTGCTTTGTTTTTGATGCTTTCTACATGCGTACAAATCTTTCTCTTCGTCTTCTCTCTTTCACTGTGTACAGCGTCGAATCACTCACTGATTGTTGTTGAACATTTTTTACTTGGTCAAGTTTTATGGTCATGGTTAATATTACAAACGCACACAGTCGCACCAATGATACACACGTATTTTACTGATCACACAGACTATGTGTTGAATTTATCAAACTGATATATAAAAAATATCTGCCAATTATCATGCGCTCACTGTTTTTGTATGAGAGTTCAACATTTTCATGAACGAATGATGATAATAGTAAGATTATTTTATAAAATAACTTCAATTGGATAAATTCAGCTCTTGACAGCCATTTAAAATGAAGCACATAATATGATCGATCATAAAAGAAAACAACACAATACCGTATCAATCAACTCCAATGAGACAATAAACTCGAATTCACAGAGATTTTGCCTTTTCGATAGAATTCCACATAATTCACAATAATTTCAATTTATTTCATACATACCCTTTTTATTCCTTAACTTTTCGTGTTATTTTTCTTAAGATTTAAGTCGTCAGATTTGTCCAAAAACTAATTTCTATTTCACATTACCGTTGCTGCCGCAAAGTAGCAATGGGACCAAGTGTTGTAGCAAACAAAACTACTACATTCCAAATGGCATTCATGCTACGTTGAACGCAGTTTGTTTTGGTGTGACGTCTTATACGAAAGACTTTTACATTTATCTTTCGCCGTTTTATGTATTATCATTCATGCTATACAGTGGCTCACAACATTTTTCTTCACCTTGCAGCTTTCATACTCATTTTTCCATTTGAAACACATATACCTACATACGAACCCAGTATCAACAATGACAATACGTACAGCATTGGATTTAGAAGATTTAAAACTTATTGACAGCGCTTCCATATGCAAGTGTAAACTTAAATCGCTTCGAGAATTTATTTGCATTGAATAATATCAGAAAATACGCGATTGTTTTCTGTTCAATTCACATTTTGACATATGATTTATCCGACATCCGAGCACTGTTTGTATTTTTAATGTAAATGTTTGTATGACTTTATTAACAGAAACAGATTTTATTTTTATATTATTCTTGATTATTATTCAAGCGATTATTTTCCATTTTGATTTAATTACCTTTTAGTACATTCAAAACGTAAACATTAAATACAATGTAAATTGTAATTGTCAAACGCAATTAAATTGAACAAAAGTTATGTCTCGTTGATCAAATATTCTAGTTTTGTTGTCAACATTCAATAGAAATAAATTGCATGATCATGTCATGTCTCGAGATATTATCAAACATCAATGCTTTGTCAATTAGTTATTCCAATCAGCTATATTAAAAAAAATATTTAACAGATTGTAAGGCTCTTCACTTCATTTGCATTCATCAAGTGTATTTGTTAAATTTTATTTTAATGCCGTCGGTGACATTCGTTCTATCAGAAGCATTGCCAGTCTAAAAAAAAACCAAAATAATTGGTTCAATATTAATATATCTATTAGCGACTTTTCGCTCGCTTCGCTCGCGCGCACTATACTGGAAAGAAATATTGGACGGTCCTTACCCCTTATTATTATCGAAAGTATTATTGCTTTTTTATAGTTTTTTGGGAAAATAGAAATTTGTTTTTATTTTTGTATAACAAGTCGAATTTTTCGTTCCGGTATACATTGGCGAATGATAAATAAACAATTTCAAGGTGAAAGTATTCTTTCATGATGTCCGACCTCATCATGTCATGGTTTTTTTTTTTCATTTTGAAATTGGAACGAAAAATTCGACTTGCTACGTGTACATATACAAAAATGAAAACAAATTTCTATTTTCCCAAAATATTATTTGTATGGCTTAGCAAAAAAAAGTAATAATACTTTCGATAATGTTAAGGAAAATATGTTTTTTAGTTTTTGGATGTGAAGCGACGGAGAGCGAGTGTATAATTAAGCATCAATTTTCGTTTCAATTACAAAACGGGGGAAGGAATTAATATCTACATCATTTTAAAGAATTGGTGTGTGGATTAAAGTTGCGAACTATTGCGATCGTCTGTACGCAGCGCATAGCTTCTGACCAGGGGTTCGAGGGGTTGGATCTAGTGGTACTGAATTACAAATGATATTGTAAAATTATGATGATACATTCAATCTGTCATAAAACGGTGAAATTAATAAATAAATTGAATAAATACAACACAAAAATTCTAATTAAACATCGTTTTTATTGTGTCAAATAGAAACATAAGGACGAACAAATTGTATTAAATTAATCTTTTCTCGATGTGATTAAACATCTGTTTTTATTTATATTTTACATATCTGTTTGCTTGTTGTAACTATTTCTATCGTTGTTTGACTGTTAGACAAAAAAAAATGAAAGAAACAAATAAATTTTTACTCGAATCCATACAATGTTGCTAGCTAGCTATTTATATCAGCTATTTACCGCATCTTTTCGCTTGGACGCTTTGTTTGTTGCACATAACAATGGTCTCACTGTTTGAAATTTTTTAACATTTTAAGTCATTTCAAAACAATGACACCATTGTTATGTCGAGTATACGCAGCGTAATGCATTAAATAGCAGCTATCCATATATCCATATAGCATTAGGTGAATAAATAGCTAGCGAGCAACATTGTATGTTCGAATCACAAAATGATATTAAAATGAGACACAATTGATTGCCCGAGAATTAATGTGAGATTTCTGCTAAAATTTTATTGAAATGTAACACTGCTATACAAAAAGTGATGATTAGTTAGTATTTTTTGTATTTTGTGTTACATTTTATTAAAATTCATTTATTCTCTGACATTCAATTCTGTTATTGAAATTAACTTTCAATTGCAGAATTCACCTTTTCATTGGTTTTAGATTTTTTTTTGTCTCTTTTAAATGGATGAAAACATTCAAAATTCCAAAAAGCGAATGAAAATGAAAATGATAAGAACAAGATGACTTTGTAAAAGCCAATATTTCACTCTATTAACTCTTTGTAATTAGCAACTTGCAATTTGATTTGAGAGTCATCTATTGTAAGCAATCTATGTGATTAGGTTGTATTTAAGATATGTGAATTACCTACTCATTCTATTTATGTATTAGAAACAGAATTGTTGTTATATGTTGTATAGGTAAATAGTTTTGCATTTCAAAGTGAACTTAGCGTGAGTGTCTTTGAATGTTTCAGCGGTAATTACAATTTTAAGCCCTTTCAACTTAACTTGATTGTGGATATCGGTTTTCAAATAAACAAGTTTATTCGCATGAAATACGACGCTTCGACGAAATTTCGATATATCATGATGCTATTCCATTTGGTTGTGTGTGTATATATGTTTGTGTTAACTAATGCTATAAGAAATCTGTCGCCGTGTTCACAGACAACATATGGGATAAACGGTGGATTTTCTACAAAAAAAAACAATATCCCTTATAACTAATTATTTCCTTCTTTTTCTCTTTTTTTCAGAAGGTACAATCGCAAAAGTGTAAATATTCTTCTTTTTTTTCTCAATTTTTTGTGTATTCACACACTCGTAATAAATATTTTACTAAGCGTTGGTACTCTTTATGATTCGAAAATGCATGCACATTTATTTAATTACACTTAAATATTAAATTTAAAGCTATGTAAGATTGATAATTCATTTTTGTTTAGAATACAAACATCAGAATATTGATATGTTGAACAAATTTTTTTTCACTTCATTTCTTCTTATTTCAAGAAGACAACGGAAAAGTATGATACAATACGAAAAAAAGTCGTTGAATTCAAAAATATCAGAAAGTTTTTTTTCGATTGTTAAATGCTCTGAAACTAAATGGTCTAACTTACAATTTGTATCTATATGAGTAAACACTAAACATTCAATTCACGATACACTTAACAATAGAATTGTTTCGAATTGTGGATGATTAGATCAGATCAAAAACTCCAGAGTCCTTTAAACACGCCAACAAAAAACATCATAGCTATGTTTATGTTTTACATAATGATGCAGTGGACCAAAATGAATGTTTTTATGAAAAAGTTTTGCGTCATCAACATCGTTGGTCTGACTCTATCAATAGTACTTTCTGCAAAAAAAACCTCCATGCAATGACTTATGAGAATCTTTCGCCCTTTAATAGTTTGTTTGTTATTTTTTTCTATCTGCTTTTAGGAAGAAACATCACAAAATGAAAACTGTTTGGGAAAGAGTGAAAAACTTAATGTGTGTATATTTGAAAAGTATGTTCGAAATCATTCATTTCCGTATCCTATTAAATAGAGTTAAAATATGTATTTTTAATGAGTCAAATTCAATGCAAGAAAGTAACAGGAACACAAATAATGACGGAACAATCAGTAAAATCGTCCGTTCCGCACATACATAGCAAAAATTGGTTCAATCTTTTTGTACCAGCGTTTTTTGTTTTCTACAATATTTCAACCATCATGACCGGGAGAAGTGAAATTTTCAAAGCTCCATCTAGTTACATTGTAGAAATGCTTACGTAAAGACATGGACAAGCATCATTTTACGATGTGAACTGCTGAAAATTTTCAAATGAAATACAGTAAAATAATTTGATTTGAATGATTTGAAGATTTTAATTTGAGAAAATTCAAATCAAATCATTTTTTTATTGATTTCTTTTAATAATTTGATTTGAAACATAAACTTCAAATCAAATTATTTCACTGATTTTATTTTAATCATTGATTTGTTGATTTTCAATCGATTGATCTCAAATCAGAAAAGTTTTTGAGATGAATAACATTCAAATGTGCAACAATATTCATAAAAACGACAACGTTTCTAGGTGGCGCATTCTCGAGTGTGATTCTCACTGACAATGTAAATAGCACAGGCACTCATGATATGGATGCAATAATTGGTTATAAGTTCATGAGAGAAATGCTAGATTTCTGACAGAAAAAACGCTTGTGTCAAAAATGTGAACGTTTTTCCTCTGTGCATTTGATGAAACAAAAATAAAACATTTCTTTTTTTATGAATACAAAATGTAATATAGCAAAATTTGTTTCCATGCAAATCAGAAATAGACAAAAATAAATCATATTTTTGTTTCAATTTCATATCATACACGACGTATGCGTTTGATCTGCAGAAAAGCAAACAAGCCAAAATGATAACATTTAATGACGACAACAAAAATTAAGGAAATCCTCATTTATCTTCATTTTATCCATAATCATTTCCACTGACTATATAAATAAACGACACACTATTGTCTACGTTAATTTTTATCTTAGTGTGTTTTTAGTATATATATATATGCCTTTTTATCTTTTAACTAATGGTAGTGATGTTCAATATTAATTCCATTTTACTATTAGAGCCATTGTTTTACTAAGTAGATACTTTTTTTTTATTTAAAATACTCGAGAGTAGTCATTGTCAATGAATTTTGTTATCACCATCTAAAGTCTACATTGAAATTATTTTAAATTCTTAAACAATAAGTATTGTATTAAACACAATGTGTCTGCTTGAAATGTACACTTATGTTTGAACAAGTAAAGTAATCTTAAGTATTGAATCGAAGAATTTCCCTCCATTTTTCTTTTACACTTTTTTGTTTAAATCGTGTTTTTTTTGTAAATTATTATTTTGTATTATTTCATTTTCCATTAAAAATGCTCATCAGAGTTGCGTTTTTCACACTGGTGGTGCGTGCACATAGTAGACATCGCACTCACAAACTGTTTATATAGAAATTTGACATTTCAAATATCAGTTTTGAATTTTTCGACAACTGCGAAACTTCTATGTAAATGTGTGTGCGAAGTCTACTATGTGCGCGCACCTCCAGTGTAAAATACGCAACTCTGATGTTCATTCAAACAATTAAAATGTTTTATTTACTGTCTTTATGCTACTTTCTTCTATTTTTTTTTAATGTGTATTTTCTAATCGATAGTGTGACAAAAGCACTCAACTTACATGGGAAGAACATTTTTGGTTGAAAATGCTTTCATCTTCGTTGCTCATTAAAACATTGTAATATCATGCGTTGAATCGAAATTGTGTAATGCCTTTAACGATAATAACTCAACCGTACCGAGGTTGTCTGGTTCATAAGCTTTTATTTTTGCTGCTATGCGCATTTCAGCAATTTATACAATGAAGTGCGAAGAGAAAAAAAATTCGAAAAGCACGTTCAAATCCACAATTTGGCGCTTGCAATGCAAAAACTTTTTGCCAAAAAGTCTTTATTAAAGATAAATTTGCTTGCGCTTTATATGTGCGTTGATTAGACCGCATTTGTTGCTCTCTTTTTTCGCATTTCTTCCTTTTTCAAACACTTACGAAGTTGAAAGCGGCAGGCCGTACGACTTGTTACTCCGATGAAAATTCCACACAAACAGGATTCTATGTAGCTGGATTATTTATCATAATACTAGAATCACAATCTCAAAAACAATAAATAATGTAATAAGACATAATCTCTTAATATAATTAAAAATACGATTTCTTATTTGGTTTTGTCTGCCGTTAGAATTGTTGTATCTGCTGCTATTGTTGCTGTTGTTGATGTTGTGTAAGTTTAATTTAGTCATTGGTCAAACAATATGCTCATTTTTCGATTGTTGGTTTTGATTTGAATACGTTAAATCGATTGATTCATTGCTCAGTTTTTGTTGTACTTGTGTATGTTTTGTTGGACCCGTTATCGATGTATGATGATATTGTAACTTCGATGTATCTTTGATTTGAGCAGTGGTTTCGGGTGTTTTACCACCACATCCACCCGTGCCAATTAATGGAATCGGTACGTTTGCCGTTACACTGCATTGAGATTGAATGTTTCGAGACTTTATCAACGGTGGATTTTTAATCGATTGTGAAAATGCAAATCCACGACGTAAGATCGCTCTGAATTTTTTTTATTTTTTTTTTTTAATTCGTTTTCAAATATTCCGTTTATGCCAAATGTTTTTTTTAGGGGAGAAAATGAAAAATTGAAAATAGAATAATGATATTAGTATGTGATAGAAAACGTAAGCACCCAAACATAAAACAAAATGCAAAATTTGTGTATCGATTGATGCAAGAATGAGTAGAAAATAAAATCAATGAAACAAAACAATGCCACACCATAAATGATAAGTCTCTTGGGATGGAAATGGAATTGAATCAATGTGACTGAAAATGGATGGATGAGTGGATGGGGAATGGTATTCCGAAAGTGAATATGTGTTATGTTGTGGGCGCGATCAGTGTCACTGGAAGAAATTCAATTGTTTTTTATTTGCTGTTTTTACCGTGTTGGAGATGGGGGTGGGTAGCTTATTCCTCTTTGGCTGGGCGACAACAAATTCGAATGTCCGGATGATGTACCAGGCACAAGCAGCGTATTGTTTGCAGATGTTTGTGATACATTCAAATTCAAATTGGGTAAACTTTGGCCCAAATGAACGAATGGCTGAATGAGCAACGTATTCGGTGTTGTGCCTCTATATTTTGTGCTTGGTGTATATTGTAATAGTTTTTTTGATGTTGTTGGTACATTTGATCCTCCTTGCACGACTGTGGCTGAACCCATTTGCATACTTTCATCACTTGATAATGAGCTTGCCTTTTCATAATCCATTGAAATATTACGCGAATCGTTCAACTCCACCGAGCCACTGTGAAAAAAAGGAGAGAGAAAGACGCAATTGTATGTGTATGTTCGTTGGAAACGAAAATAGTGATTATTAAAATAAAATTATGGGCCCGAGCTCTGGATGAATAAATAATTCGAGGTTTAAATTGTGGTTGAAAGAATAATTTGTAAGCCAAAAAAAGAATACAGACACACCAGAGAGAATAAACTTTAATGACGCATACTTTGGTATCATGACATATTACATTTGTGCGGTTTGTATTCGGATTTCTTTTTATTTATTTCGGAAGCAATAAATGTTTATGTTTAACGGATATTAATGGTGCACGTTGAATTTGCATCGTCATCAAAGAGCCACATTTGCCCGAATCTTTTTTTTTTTGTTTCGTTGGGTTTTTTTTCTTCTCACAAAATTCATCATATCTGAAAATTCATTACAACGATTTCACAAAGGCGAATTCGGTTGCATAAAAGCACCACAATTTTATACATAAATTTATAATTTTAAATTTATTCAATTGAATGTTTAAACCTCGAACCATCATGCTCATATCAGATTAAATGTGTGATATTGTGCGTAAGGATCTCATGCGTCTTCAACAATTGAGAAATACTTCTATACTATACCTGTGACTATTATTCAGACTGGATAGTCGACTTCCCATTGTGCTGTTCAATGGTGACTTTCGGACGCCTAGAGTTTCCGTGCTGTATCTAATATTGTAACTATCAAATGGTGAGCTTTGTTTCAGTCTTGAATAAATGTGTTTTGTTTTTGTTAAAGCGTCGAACCAATTCTGCGTATCCGACCGTAACCATTGTGTTTTGTATTTGATTGATTGAAAGTAAAATGCAAATGAATTAAAGCCACTGAATAATAATAAGATAACAAACAAACAAATTTATTTGAAAAAAAAAAAAAAACGATTTTTTTACCCGCGCTACATCGGAGCAGTGAAGTGTAAATGCGGATATGGCCAGATCCCATTCGTTCAAATAAATTAAGTATAAAGTGCTGTCTTTTATTTGTATTTTCAATCTATCCGTAAAATATGGCTGTCGAATAACCTTTTTTTTTTGTAAACAGCACAGGAAAAAAATCACAAAAGAGAAGAAATGTGAAAAAAATGGAAGAAATTTGACATATTATTTTAGTTGAAATCTGTGTGGATGAATAAAAGTTTGACACTTCAATATGGTAATTTGCAAGCGTGTTTAATATGTGCAAGTTGAGCGTAAACATGTCTGTATAAGTTCAACTATGTGTGTGATGATACTTCAGAATGTACGACATTGATAAAGAATAGAATATGGCACATTTATTTGGAAAATGAGTCAGATCATAAACATTAAAAATGCATGGACACGAAACGATGCTTTTAAAATATTTCATATTCGCTCAGTTTTATGCCGACTATTTGTTTTGTTGTTGTATATATTTTTCTTTCTTGTCTTCGTCATCATTTTGATGGATTTTTTTTTGCCGTTCGAATGGTTCATAGACTTCAAGCGTCTTGACGTGTTGGGTATTTTCATATTTTTTTCTGTCGTTTTTATTGACGGCATTTTATCCACTTTTTTCAGTTATTTATTGGCCGACATTGTCCAATTTATTGGTTTTATTTATGTATTATATACGATATTTCCGATGTTTTCACTTACAAATAAATGCAAATACTGCGTTTGTTCAATATATTCATCAATATCCAAAATAAAAATATCAATAAACTTCATGCTGTTATGCGTGAGATTTATGTGTGTGTTTGTGTGTGGATGGAAGCATTGAAATGTGAGTAATTGAAACAAGAATTTACCTTCAAATTGCCCATTCCTTTCTTTTTGCAGATTAACAGCAAATCTGTTAGCAGGAAACAATGGACGTCAACCTAGTTGAATTGACACTAAATCGGTTATTTGAAGTGTACATGTGAACGTGTTGATGCGTGTATTATTATATTTTTGTTTACATTTACATCAAATCATGTTCGGCAATGAAATGTGTAATGTCCACAAAATATATTACAAATCGTCAACACAATTTGATGACTTAACTCTACATCATATAGCTATATACAATCAATAATGTAATGAATTTTGAATCAAACGTGCTCATTTCATTAGTTATGTATCAACAATTACTATTAGTGAACATGCTTTTCAATGTAATCAAATAGAAAGGATTTCTGTCATTTAACATTTCTGCTCTTATGATTGATTGTTTTTTTTTTTTTTTTTTTGAATTTCGGTGATTTATTCAACAAAATGAGCAAAAAATTGAAAGTTTGCTTTAAAAATTTCTATAGATATACATTTTAGCAATGAAAGGACAATAACTATAACATGTACTTTTAATGTCAAAATTTTAAAGTAACATTGCCATGACATTGGTGATAGTAATTTGAAACATACTTCGTAATTCACTCTCAGTTCACTATAACTAACTCTATCTAGTGTTTAATAAACACTGTTTATTCTATTACATGCCCACTATAACGTACAAGTGCATTCATGATACATCGTTCAAATGAATTTAAAAATCCTGCCGTTAGTTAGTGTCGGCACCATTTAGCTCTTTAGTAGGAAATTCATTGCTATGATATAAATCACATCAAAATCAATGGTATTCTATCTACGTTCTCGACACGTTGTCGAAACTCATTGCAATTAACCAAGCGACTTCTTGAATTTCTCACAATCACATTAGTTTCATAAAATGAGGTTAATATAATTGATTTTAGTATGAATTTGTTACATTTCTTCAACTACCTAATGTTTTTTATAACTCTGAGAAAATGTTTTAGTTTTTGGAATTTTCATTAAATGACATGAACAAAATGTCTAAATGATTTCTTAATTGTAATAGTTTCAAAACCGTATGATTTCATATAAAACAAACGAACCTTAGTTGTGCTATCTTTGTACCGTAAATCACCTTCCATAAATAAATGACGTCCATTTGGTTGTGCAACACCAATCATCGGTCCACAAAGGTCAAACATCGTACAATGTTGTTTCAATAACTTCTCCATGTTCTCATTATTAGTGTCCTGGAAAAAGATAATCACAAATAAATTAGATCTTAAACGAGAAATGCACTAAAGTTAAATTGTATCAAGAACACATACATAAACACACATTATAGAATTACTATGACCGGTAATTGATTAATTAAATAAGAATTGACTTAATTGGTGAACAGAATCGTTGGAATCTTACGCATTTTGTGGAGACGATAAACTTTAATGTGAAACAAATGCATAAAATGAGCAGGCAAAACCGATACCGCTTTATTTTTTGTTTGCCGTAGGTATGTTCACAAGGAATAGAGAGAGAGAGAGAGAGAGAGAGAGAGAGAGAGAGAGAGAGAGAGAGTGAAAGAAGAGGGGGCTGGTTGGTTACGAAATTGTTATGGAAACATCTCATGAAAAATCTATTTTATTGCCCGCAAAGTGCACAATCTCGAGTTCAAAGAATTTTTGATAATAAATTGTCATCGTAAAATCTTTTATTCTTTTCTAATCTTGTGATGTAATAAACAATTGCGAAATACCTAAATTGCTATTTATAGAAGCTTTCAATCCGAAAAAAATCACATGTATTTTGATGTATTATCTATCTTTATTTTACATTCCATGAAAATGGCATTCATAGAAGATAATAAAATAGGTAATTGTAATAATGCCCATGACAAAGCTCTCAAAAAAACACTTCATAATTACTTTTCCCACGAGAAGCCATTTTATTTCATAGATTTTTGTCAGTTAGAAACGCACGTTTTTTTATTAAAATAGGAATAAATATTTCCATGGTACACAAAATGGTATTTATAATGGGCATGTGTGTGGGCCTAAATCCAACAATTGGTTGTGTATCACAAAAAGGCTTACAAGTCCTTACCGCAAAGCAAAATAAAACATTGAAAATACATTTTATGATAATATTAATTTGGAGTCATGACGGTTGATCACGGTTAAATACTGATAAAAAAAACGAACCAACGCAGTATAGCTGGAACAATGTTCCGCAATTTATCCCTTTGAGTTAAGGGCAAATGTCAACAGCAGTTAGCTTTCACAGAAAGTTGAAAATGTCACAACTTGATACGTATAATATGGATCTGTTTGAGTTTTTTTTGCCATCATTAGTTGTGGGGGGGGTGGGGGCGAAAACGCAAAAGACATTTTTCAAACTAAATTACAAAAGCAATTGTTGCGGATATGTATCAAAGAGACGATTTATTACGGTAAGTATGCGTGTATTGTGATGGAATTTTTATTATATCGGCATGCCGATTATGGCAGCTGTATTAGTACTGTCTTAACATTCCGTGTAAATTATAATAATTACTTCGCAAGTATGTATGCGTGTGTATGTGTGTATGTAAGTGTAAGAATTAGTGAAAGAGAATCAAGTATTAAAAAGAAAAATGTAAAGCATAATAATAATAACAATCAGAAGAAAAACAAAATTGTTTTTCATATATAATTACTTACCACAACATCATATGATTCAATACGCGCCATTATACCCTTTAGCCTTTCGTTTTCTTGACGCATTGTCAAGTGTACATTCACGCCAAATACAAAACTTTCCACACAGTGAATCTATGATCATTTATATTCATTATAGAGAACATTATATAGAAATATGTGTATGTGCATGTATGTATAGGAGAGTGAAAAAAGTGGCGAGAGACAGACAAAAAGGAAAAGGGAACAACAAGATTATGATGTGTATGAAATGGAGGAACAAGAATGAAGAAAAACAAACCGGGTCTTTGTATGTGAATATGTGAAAATGTGAAAAACGAATGAATATATATATAGTATAATAGGTGGTCGTAATGTAGTGAATGTTTGAAGACGTGTGCCGTTGGCTTAATGTAATATGCTGTGTATATTGAATATGAGTGATTATTGAATTACACACTATGGCGATGTGGGCAATGAATGATTTGAGACGATTAGAGCGGCTAGCTCATTGTTGTATGCTGTTAGAAAATGCAAACAATATGCATTATTTGGTAATACATACCATTAAGTCCAAGGATTCAGCATCATTTTCGTCAACCACATTTTTTCTCATTGCTCCCAGCAGCAAACCGTATTTAGTCAGTCTTTGTGTAGGTCTTACCAGAATATCTGCCAATCGCAAGCTGTAAGAAAGGCTTAGTGTTGGCATTATATCCAGCATACAAACGATTTCGTTTGTACATGAAGCTTGTGATCCGAACGATTTTGTTGAAAGAGAACTATATGCGAGGCGAATGAATGAGCAGACGAGAGCGCGCGCGAGAGTGGGAAAGCAATACGTCAAGACGGAAATGTACAATTGAAAAGAGCGTCAATTTACTCCATAACTTACAATAAGCCTCATTTTCGAAATGGCTTGAGTAAATCACACAAAATGTTTTGCTTCAGCGCGGATATTATAGCAAACAATTAAATGCACACACACTGACATTCATATGAATGGGAATAACGGACACTTACACAAACAAACACCATTGTTATGCAATATAAATTCATGTCTCTTTCTTCTTTTTAATTACTCGCAATCATGCTCATTCTTCAATGAAATTATTGTAGTCGCTTTGAACATCATCGTCAGATATCAAGATACGTTCAAACCTACCGATTGCAGAGCTTTTGCGCTTCACACCATGCCAAATATGATGTGAATAGTGTATTGCTTCCATTTAAATCCCTGCAATAATATTGACATGTACTCTGTTCAGCGCAGTAAATTTTATAGGGCGAAAAAATCTTTGGAAAGTTTTCGAATGCCGGCCGAAAGAAGTCGATGCACATTTTGGCTCCCGTTTTAATGCTATTCTGTACCTATACCATTTTAAATACAGTCAATTGAATTGAAATATTTTTTAGTTCTATAATATCTACACCGTTGTTTAGTATTTCTTTCATTTAAAACTTACCATTGGATACAAATACAGTGTCCAAAATTTAATATTAACTTCGTAAATTTCTCGAATATTTAAAAATAGTTTGCTTTGATCGATGTCCGTTAAAATTTTATGCGATTGAATTGCCTCCAAACAGGATAAAAAAAGCTACGTGAGACAGAATAAAGAGAAAGAGAAAAAATTAGGCAAGGGAGAGTGGGCGAGTGAGTATTAGAGAAAGAGAGAGAGAGAAAGAGAAAGTGCAAACATATAAACGGGCATCATGTTGAGTTATGAAATGGTTTTGTGTTAGAAAATCCAATTGTCTGCTGTGTGATTTTGGTTTGATTGTGCGTTTGATTTTTGCATTCTTTTTACTCTGTTACGTTTTGGTGTGTGTGCTCTTTTTCTGCTGTAGTCACTCTCTTTCTCGTGTTCTTTTTTTGTTTGTTGCATTTTCCACAAATATGTGGCTTTTACGTTACATTCTATTTTACCTCTGTAACGGTTTGTAGCGCATGTATGTAATCGACTTCGGTGGAAACTAATTCCCAGATGGCGGACTGAATTTTGATTTCATGCTCCTTCATATTGGATTCATTCACAAATTCCTTCCACGAACCATGTATGTTGTTCATATAATGAAGTGATGATGCTAAATCCGTGTGTTCAAACGATGAAAATGTTTTCGACTGTGGCACACCATTCTTTGCATAACTGTTTAATATTTCGCATAATTGACCTTGTTGTGGATTCTTTTGGCCAAATAATGTTGACCAGCGTGGCTTTGATGGTTTCGTTGTGATCAAATTGGATTTTACCGAATCGAAAATATGCGATGATTCAGTTGCCTCTTCAGCTGATACGGACGAATAAAGTCGCATCGGTCGCGGGCCATCGCTTTGCTGCAATAAATTTTACACAAAAATGTAAGAGAACGAGATTGTGAGTTACAAGCTATTTATTTCATATCTGTTTGAAATATGATTCTTTTTTTATTCTTCTGGTCTTTTTTAATGATGTAAATGAGACAAACGGTATGTTGTCTCGTTGAGAGAAAAAAGAATCAATTTAAGGAAAAAATCAAGTACAAAAATTTGCATACCAATGATGGGACCTTCTGCAGAGATGGATGATATAACTTGACCCCGTCTTGTTCTATATCGGCAAAAGTATACATCAGGAAACAAGATTAAATCTTTAAACCAGTCTTACTAATTGAGTTGGATACATATTTCATCATTTTTTTTTGTTTTGCCTGAAGAAAGTGAGCATGCTAATGAAGCATAATTTATAATAGGCCCAAATAACTACCAACCCTATCTATTCTACCTATTCTACCTATTTACAAGAATGCGTTCTTTCCACACAAAAAATACATACAAAAAAACCGATGAAAATCGTATTTTAATGCACTCTCATAAAACGAAATAATACAAACAATATTGAATTATAAACTTTGACGTACCTGTTATAATGAGGTACTTGCCAGCCAATTGGCCAGTGTCTGTTTTATCATTCACGTGGTTGAGTTGAGTTAATGGAATTTCTGATGACGAACAAATATAGAAGTAAATGTATACTATTTTTATCTTCATGATAAACAAATATTGGTTCTCCCATTGTGAGCTTGAGAGCTTCATTATTTCTTGAATAAAGGTATTTTTTGTTTGTTTCACCACTTTCATTTTTTTTCCCGAATTTTTCTTTTTATTAATTAAACATTTGAATTTACAATAGTTGTGAAAGGTTAAACTTACTGAGATCACTTGTTCCGGGAAGTTCATGGATTGCCAATTGTGAAATGCTTAAATTTCGTCGAAGCAGTGATTCACTTAATACATGCCTTCGGTAACAAGAATAAAATGGAAAAAAATCGAGTTTTAGTGGATAATGGAAGAAAATGGAAAGAGAGAAAAGGGAAAAGAAGAAAAAAACAACGATAAAATATATGGTTCTGTTGAAAATACGATGAACTCTTGTTAGAAGTTAACATGGATATTAGTAAAATACCCAAGTGTAGCTCCTTTTACAGCCGGCAATATTTCCTCCTTCTCACTGACCGCATTCACATCAAAGTAAATACGAAAAAAGTTCGAATGGTTCACCTGCAAATAGATCAATCATTATGGTTGATAAGCGTTTCCAATAAATTTCCATAAACTATTACGAATCTAATAATGTGCTATTTTGGCATCTCATCCGCACACTAACCACCCTACACTTTCATTCTTAGTCCAAAATTTATTGATTGATTCAACCAATGATACACGCAAGTAATTAAATCGAAAGATAACGACCTATTTGGAGCGATTTTCACTGCTTTTCCACTTTGATTTAGAGTGTACGTTGATTTCAAAAGGAAAAAACTTATGGCCAATTACGTCATTTAATTGTATACGACTAATACGATTAGTAACCTCGTAAAAACTAATTTCAATTCAACGCCATCATTTTCGTTCTTGACGATGCCAGCCGCTGACGTTGCCACCATTGGCAATGCATTGTATCCAATTGTCTTAGTCAGCGCTTGGTTCGCTGAACAAAACAATTTCTCCAATCATTTATTGAAAATGCAAAAAAAAAACACTGTTCTACACACAATATGCATTGCCCTATTTTTCAAGGCAACATTAAGCTCAAAATTGTGAATTTCATTGTAATGCGTACATTTGTATCACTGTTACGTTAATCGTTACAAATGATAGATTTTGCGTTGCCGGAACATGCATATACACAGCATATATTGCTTAATAGAAACAATCTATGTTTGTAAGCACAAATGTTTCCATTCGACATTCATATTGAAAATACAGTCATTTCATATCCATACTAATAGCATTATGTCCTTTAATAATTTAACGAATTCTATACATTGTTGACAAATATGTATGCGCAAATATCTAACAGTAAACTGTTGCCCAATGCTTCAAATTCTCGCTCATATTTTTTATTCGATAGAAGTTTTTCAAGTTAATTTAGTGAACAAAATTGATGACGTCATTCAATTGGGTATTGTTAAATATTACTGAGCGAATAGCGTTAAATTTGCAAATACTACGAATACAAAACAATGCGTCCAATCACCAAATTGGCTCACACAGTGAGCTCTGTGTTTGCGCTCGTTCGTTCATACAAATAAGATAAGGTATATTCAAATGATTTTCATATTTCATTGATAATAACCAATGATATTTAAGGTAACTTTAATTATCAAAAAATGATATTTATACTCAATAAAACGTTGTCAATCAAGTGTGTGTATTTCTTCAATAAGTTTTCAATTTTACTTTTCCGCACACATCTACTAGGGGAATGTATTGCAATGGGTCAAAATTTACGACACCTCGACATGTTTTCTAGACGTTTCCGAGGTCATAGAACCCGAATCAGGCCGTTTTGAGCATGGTTGTTGTGGGTCTGTTCCACGTGGCACCTTGTCCGCTGAACGCAAAATCACGCATGGACCACCATACGGAAAAGTTCGTCTTATACTGCCGCAAGAATTTTTATTTTATTTAGCTTTCATTTTTCTAGAAGTTTGAAAATCAACAATGTTGCGATTCATTTTGAAATTGAATATGAATTAGATGTCGAACGTCTCCTATGTTTTGTTAAAAAAACTACCATTTAACTCAAACACCGTGGATAAATGTTAATCAAGCTATTGTGTACATAAAAGTGTTTACATTGTTGCGTCAAACGTTAATGCGAAAGAAAAACTTTATACAATAAAGGGACAATTGGTGGATTGGCGTGAATGTTTCAATTTGTAGCCTTTACATCGATGAAACTTACCCAAGCATAATTGGTTTTAACAGTTCGCTGATTTGACAATGTGCTTAACTAATTTTTACACATATTCACAAAACTATATATATAGAGTTAGAGAGCAGAGTGAAAACGTGAACAAAGGAAGCGAACGGGAGAGAGAGAGAGCAAGATTAACAGAACAAATGCGTCTGTAGAGGATGTATAGAACAATGCAATTATTTTTCTTTTTTTTCATTCTTTCTGCCGCTTGACTTTCAAAACGACATTCGAACGGATTGATGATATAACTTTGTCATTTAGCAGCGTCATCAAGCGCAAATTGATAGCCGCGTGCCATTCATTTACTAAATGAATCAATGGTTTGCCAACATTCGTGAACGCAAACGGAATCAGTCAAGGTAATTAGTGGGGAAAATCGCGGGTGATAAACGTAAAAGATGAACAAAAATAAAGGAGAAAGAGAGACAAAATGAAAAAAAATGAGCAAGTGAATAGATAGAAAGCAACAGCGACACCCTGTGAATTCAATGACATGATTGAATGAAGGCGGTTTTTTTCTCTATATATTTTTCATACTCTTTGTGAATATTTAACCAAGAATACACACCATACACATAAATTATGTGTGCCAGTCTATATGGATCAGTTTGTATACGTAAATGGAACGATGGCTAATTCTAATATGTATATCATCGTAGACAGTGGCATTTTTGCTCATACATATTGAAAATGAATCATTATTTCAAATATATGGTCCAAATATTTGTTTGAAATTCATGGCACACGCGCACACAAACAATTTCATACTTATCATCATGCCTCTAAACCACGTCCAAACCCAATGAGTTTAAAAAATTTGAAAGGGGCTTACACCCCCTGTGCCCATGTATGGATTTGCTAGAGTTTTTGGTTGGCTGATGGACACCCCCCTTAGATTTTTTCTGTGCCCATGTATGGTTATCGTGCCAAACTCGAAGTGAAAAAAGCACGTAACTAAAGGGCAAATTATGTAAACGTAACATGAATGAGAGAAAAAAAATAGCAAAAAATATATATGCATATTTTTGAGCTTCCCTAATTAATTTTGAGATATAAATATGATGTTTGTAAATACTTAAATCCTTTGAGCGAACAAGTGATTCGATGTGACATTGAGTCGAATAAAAGTTAGTTAAATATCTTACATTTATTTGAATAAGCAGCATAAATTCGTAAACAAATACATCGCATATACAATGTATCGTATATACTTGAAAGTTTAAACACAAGTGATTTTATCGACACATATTGTCTCTTCTTCCGCAAAGCATTCATTGAACATCGTTATTGGCATTTCAAGACTTATTATACATATCTCTTGCCACATTCTTTTTGTGAAAAAAAGAGCTCTTATCTCTCGTAAAACAATTAAAAGTGATTCAATATAATTTATACACGTGGGAAGAAAGGAACGGCGTTTGTATGAGTGCATGGGAAAAATGAAAATTTATAAGCACTTTTTTATGAAAAGCTGTTTTCACGATATTATCTTCCATTTAGTTCCCGAAATAGCTTCAAGTTGCAAGTTATAATGTTTGAAATAATGTCAGCTTGTGTTTGTGTGTGTGTGTAAATGGGAAAAACGCTGAATGCGAAAATAAAAAATAAGGTTACACATTTCAATGCTTATATTAATAATAAGCATTCTTTTGATTTTTCAAGTGTTTCATTCTGAAGGCAATCATGAGTCGGAATTTCCTGTTTTTTTTTTTGCTCATTTCGAAAAACGTGTATTGTGTAAAAAAAAGTTAAAATTTATTATAACCTATGATATAGAAATAAATCAGCAAAAATTTCAATTTATTTCTTTCGACATTTGATTGTGATTCTAAATCATTGCCTCAATAATCGGATTTAAATTCATTTGGTTCTTAAATTATGCTGCCACATTTGTCACCGAATACAGAGAATTACGCCAATAAAAGCATGTGCAGTCAAATATGTGAATCGTATTGAAATTAAAACGCAGAGATTCTGGCAATAATGAAAAAAAAAATCAATTTATTCAACTTTAGAAGTGCCATGGTGTATCGACCGTAGAATGAATGAATTTCTATTTCTTTAATTAAAACTTCGCCAATTATTTGTTTACAATATTGTAATTTTTTCAAATTTGCTTAATTTAATTTGTTTATTCTTGTAGAAATTAAAACGACCATTTTACACACTGAATACGAAAAAATGATGTTAAAATGTCATTTGGTTTTTTCACCGCAACAATTGTGTGTTATAATGTAAATTAAATTTTATGAGGATTGAAAAAATTGTATGATACAAACATTGTGTTGCCATTATTGATACTTACTTCAGTTTGCTGTGATGGAAAAACGCTGTTTTGCATTAAATTATGTGGTTCTAGTGAATCTAAATGCGTCAGACTTTTGGATTTTAGCTATAAATGTAGAGAAGAATAAATAAAAATAAAGTCAATCAAAAGCTTTAATAAAACCTATTTAGTTTGATTAAATGAGGAAAGTCCGTGATATAGTATGTCTAACATATGCATAGAAAGTCTTTGCACTAAATTCAGGCTTTAGCCATGTAAACAAAAAACATACAATATTAAATTCGTTTTTATTGGTATAAACCTTTATTCATTGGCTATCGAATAGCACATTCACTTTACACTGAACGGGCCATTGTCTTCGATTTTTCTCAGTATGCGGCGAACCTTCAAAATGATGCTTCGGCAGACCGATTTGTCGATATTTGTTATAGGAAAGACAAAAATCCCAATTGCAATTTTGGGTCGTAGAAAGGATACTGCAAATGACTATATGGTATTTTTTTATCGTACATTTTTCGACTCGCAGCAAACATTGAGAGTATGTCTACATCGCTCTTTAAATTGGTGCCAATTTATCGTATTTTCACTAATACAAAGCAAATCATACTCATCAATTTTGTCTCAAAAGTATTAAATTTATTTGTATTTGAAGAAACATCCGTGTACAAAAACAATAACAATTACATATCAATAATAGTTTAATAGACATTTTTCGAATAAGTTGACGAGAGCTTCTTTTTCTCTGAAAATCCGATTATAAAGTTGTGTACAACAAAAGTTCAATGATGTACCAATTGAATTGCAGTCAATTCGCTTGAATCAGGTAGCAATATTGTTGGTGTGCTTTTGGTTTTATATTCTTCGATTCAATCTACAATAGACATATTGTTATAGATATAAATTATAATACAGTAAGACTCCAACCGAAAGACTAACTATTTCAACGTTCTGAATTTTTCAAATTCCTTTGGAAGAACAAAATCCTTATTCGTTTTCGTTCCCGTTCGATATGTTCGTTCGATTCAAAACTTCATACTTCATTTAATATAAAATCAATCAACGACGACTTAGATTCACCGCTTTTGAGATCTATCTAATATGCCTCTTTTTCAAAGAGACTATTCGTTGAATAAACTTTAGCAATCAATACAAACAAATTCATGGGCTAGCGCCACCTGTGATTTCGAAAAATTGGTAAATCTAATGAAGTAGTTGGTAAAATTTATTCAACAAATAGTCCCTCATGAAAAACATGCCTCATAGATCTCAAAAATGATAAATTTAATTGGTTGTTGATTGATTAAATCTACCTAAATTAATTTACATATACCGCATTTGAATGAAATGTTCAAACTATAAGTCGTTTTGAGACTGTTCTTGAATCACATTTGTTTTTATTTGTTTTTGACAATTATCAACGGCAAATGAAAAGAAGGGAATTGTGAAGTGCCCACCATACCAAGAAAATACATAAATGGGCCGATTCACTTTATGTGCACTTCACAGTGTTCATCATCGTTCGTTTGAAATTGTTGGAGTGTGGTTTTTGAATCAATTCCGTCAATAAACATATATAACTTGAAATTGCTTTGGCATAATGGGAAGCATATCGTTGTGTATGGTTGAATTCGCATGAAGAAAACGATGTAGTGTTTTCATTTCTCAGACAATGGTTTTATTTCGCAATAATAGAAGAACGTTTTCACAATCGGATGGATTGTATTATTGCTTCTTGAAAATGTCGATTTTATTAGAAAGTTGAATTCCAGGAGCTATGACACACAGAATTATATATATATTTCAAATGTCAGCCAAACAAACTGAATTTTTTGATTCGCAGTGAATCAGATGAACCGTATCCTTAGATTAAATACTAGATTTTCTCAGACAATATATTTGGATTTTGTCATCTTGATATTTCAGCTCATCTGGATAACGTTAGGTATAAAAATACTTCCATACTATAACAATCACTTCTATTGTTTTCACTCCGTATCATCGCCTAAGGTTATCCAGATGAGCTGAAATATCCACATGACAAAATTTAAATATATTGTCTGGATTTTCTTAATGTTAGTAAATCTAGGAATGAATATGAAATTGCTGAAATCAAATATGTAAATGACAATACAAATATGAAATCGATTCATCAAGAAAACTATTAATAAAGCTCATGTTTTCAGAGCTAGCCACATAGAGGTGTTAAGAAGTGCTGGCACTTTTCTTGTAAGTGTCGCTCTTTCTTGTATACAGGTGCGGCACTTGAAAAGTGGCACTAGTGTCCGCACTACAGCGGCACCAATAACATTTCTGCATTTTTTTTACATCAACAAGTTAACTAATTTTTCCAGTTCACTTCACACCAATTTTAAGTGATTTCTAATATAGTCAGTGAACTTGTGATGTAACCATAACTGTATGGTTTGCACACATGCTCGCCACATTGAACGTAATAGAAGGTAAAGATCAGTTCTTGTGACATTCCAAAGACAAAAGCATAATGCATCAAATGCAATTCTTCAGAGTTTACATTTCGTTTATTTAATACTGTTTGTCTCTGCAAAATATATTGAAACCAATTCTTATTCTGATGTTTAAAGATTAATAAAAACATTACGATTTCAATTTTTTATGCAAAGACATCATTCTCTCCATTAAAATAATTTCCTCTTTCGTTTAAACATACATATATTGGAAAAGAATTTTTCGGGGTTATCCATCTTTTTAAATAAACATCGGTGTTATCTCAGCGATGAAAATAATCACGATTATTTTAAATCTAAATTAAAACAATGGGAAAATCTACTCTTAAAAGTGGTTGACATTTGTCGTTGTTTCTCGCTATAATAGAAATAGAATACTAAAGGAAAACTCGATTCGATTTCAGCCAAAACATTAATTATTTCATAAGCTCTTTTCCAATATATTTACGTTCTATGTTATAATTCCCAGCTCGAAAACAGCATCGCAAACTGCTATTGACATCAGCGCATCGTATGGATGTCTTCTATTATAAATTGCTACAACAATTTGAGGTACAATATAATTCGCTAAAGCTGTAAAGATACAGGCACTCAATCTTTCAATTATGGATTTAGTTCAGCGTATGAAAATAAAACAATTCTTATTTTATTCTTCGCTTTGAATGTTGAACTGAGTTCAGAGTTAAATAAATTTCTGTTCACTTTAAATGAATTGTTTGCATTGTATTCGAGCATAATTTTTCGATGTGCGTTTATTTCAAATGTGATCGTGTGGTTTGTGTGTTATAAACTTAAATGGATGAAGATGCACAAACATATGTTAAATCATTCAAAAAATCGGAAGCAATCACTGAGATTCGTTGCATTGCCTATGTTTTGATTTGCGTGATACTTTTACCATGGTGATATAGACATGAATGGATGAGAATAAAAACGGAATACCAACGTTTTTCTTGTGTGGGGTAATTTCTGAAGCACAAAAAAAGAAATATTTTGTAAGAAAAAAATCGCAAAAACAGAGTATTCAATGAACGTTTGGCTCGGAAAATGTCAATCAAGCGTCTGACAATTAACGAATCCAAAATATATCTAAATGATAAAAAATCAAGGGTAATCGACAAATCTTCAAAAATATTGGGCGGTAATTTTCAAGTCGCACTCCAGGGTCCCTCTGGACCCTCGTCAGAATCTATTCACCAAAAACGTGAATTCGAAAGTTCCTACATTTATTCTCGTTCGTTCATATAGAATGTTTGTAAACATGAACCATTTTGTACACAGAAAATGTATGATAATCAAATAATCCTAAGCCATTCCGCACAGTATTTTCAATACTATATACATTTTAAGTGAATTGGTTACACCAACAACATCAACAGTGAGAAAAACGATATGGTTCGAAATTACACTTTACAGACTGTATGTTATAGCATCAAATTACAAAAAAAAAAACATTTGTTGTCGATCGAATTTTGGTAAATGTTTATTTAAGGCTTTGATGTATGTGGTTTTGAACGATTGCTATTGTTAACGCAATTTTATTTCGCATAATGAAATCTATTTGGAAAATTAAATGCTAAACGAATACACGACGGGATTAAAGTGCGTAAAATCAATATATGCAAATGATAGTGTTCCAATACATCAAAAGTAAGAAAGCGTGACTGATTTTAGAGGCCGAAAAATATATATGGTGGGGCGTAAGATTATGCGTATTTTACAAATAAAGGTGTCAAACGGACAAACATGAAATGAAAATTTTCATGTTTTTTGTATCCGTACTTCTGTTTAGTTTCGATTTTGAAAGTGGAACGGACGTACGAACGGACAAAATTCGTCCATTTGACACCTTTATGAACGAATGATCTGTGTTCAGCATACCTGAAGTAATTTGTTTGTTGGTGGTGAAACAACGAGACAGATTTTCATTGGTGATTGTGTAGACTCATCACTGTGCTTCATTTCGCTGATTGAAAATGGATTTTTGTTGCGTACAAAAAGGGATGATGATGGTGATGTTGGTATTGGTGATTCAATTTTTGATTGATGTATTTTGTTCGTTGTATAATCGATGATATTTACGTCATTTTTATTATTATCAGGGCCACTTGTGCCATTCCTATAATCTTGTATTTGGAAGTGAGAGGAATGGGGGGTAGAAATAAGGGAAGTAGGTTATCAAATCTTCAGAATCATTTTCGATAAAAGATAACTCAAAATACTTTCATTTAGTTAAATGGAATATCGCTTATAATATAATGCGACGCGGCGCTACCGCACATGCAAACCGAAAATAAAAACACGAACAAAAAAATAAATGTAATATACGTAGCAGCTGCCAATGACTGATATTCATTGACGAAAATAAACCAGATACAGTTAAATCAAAGCTCATATCAATTGCATTAGATGCGGCAAATCAAACTCACCATTTATTGATTCGATTGGTTCTTTGTTCATTTCCGTTATACATGATCTCTCATCCAAAAACGGATTATTGGTGTATTGTGGTGTAGCGAATGACGATTGCTGCTAAATCATATACACATAAATAAATATTAGCGGAAAGCTTTCGATATATTTATTTCGATGCTATGAAAGCTAAAGTTGCTTCTCAAGGAT